AATTCTGAATTCTGGATTTTCAGTGCTCCAGTATCGTACGTGTTGGGAAGCTACCGTACCATTTGTGGAAAAAGTGGATTCGTCGGAGAATAAAATAAGTTTGTAAAACTGATTATTTTCATTTAAAATTTTGTCCCCTATCCACAAACAAAAATCTAATCGTTTTGCTTGGTCTCCATCTTCTAGAGCTTGATTAAAATGTGGTTTATATGGAAAAAAATTGTTGGCTTTTAAAATTTTTTGGATTTGACTTTTTTGGACCAACTGTAAATTTTGAGCTCGTTTTCGTAACGACAGAATAGGGTTTTCCACAACAGACTGCAAGACGACAACTGTAGCCGCATCATCCTCGTCAAAAAGTTTCTTCTTCTTTTTTAAATTATCCACCGACCCAGTGTTCTTGAATTTTTTAACCAGTTGACGAATTCCATGTATTGAAACTGAAACCCCTGGAAATTTTTCAACAAATCGTTCTTGTACATATCTGTATGAACGGTCGCCAGTTCCATAACACTGCACCAAAAATATTTTTTGTTCAATAGTTAGCATTTTGAAAATATTTTATAAAACGAAATTTATAATCTAAGACTGTCACTGTGGCATTTTTTGTCATACATAAGTAGGCTTTCCAACTTCTGTCAAAAAAATCCCGAGGGGTAAACCACTCTAAAATCAGCGAGACCAACGTTCAACATTATGTGGACGTTACGCTTTGATTTCTCCTTATTCGATCATTATCAATCGTTATCAATACGGAAAAATCCTTATGAATAGGAAATTTCTCTTAGCGACGCGTTGCTGACTTCCCTTGTGATTTTTTCCTTAGACGTTAATTCGTATGCGATTTATAATTTTTTTAAATCAGTGGTTTACCTCGAAAAATCCAGTAAATTTACAAAAATGACACAATCAACAATTATCAAGTAACGTAAATTTAACAATTTGCATTGTAGCATTGTTTATTTTTGTAATTAATGTAAATTTTCACAAAATAACCAGGTAAATGAAACGTCAAATGGGGTACAAAAGTATAAATTAGAAATTAAATTTTAAGAAAAATAAAATTAGGAATACTGAGTTGAAATTTTACAATTGGTCTTTGAATATGATTTGAAATCCTTTTTTATTTGTCATTTTGCTCCAAAACGAAAAATAAAGGTAGTTTACTCTTGATAGTATTTCATGTTTTCTTGTTTTTCGACCCCCCTGTATAATATTTTCAAATTTAAAGTATGACAATAGACTTTTTAACACAAGCAGAACTTTTTATAAAGAATGACTTTTGGTCGAAAAATGAAAATTTTAGTCCATTTGTCCTCTTGGGCCCTCTATCCGTGGACATACTGTATATATATATGGTATACCACCCATGCTACACAAGATACAATGTATCTTGTCCTACATACACCTACATGCTAGTCATTTTAATAAATCAGTCTTCAACCTACTCTGGTATTATTTACTTCATGGCGCAGTCGGTAGGATATTTTGTAGTGGGGGTTTATTAATTACAGTGTTGCCTAGTATTATATAATATATATATACATATGACATCTTTCTTTTTCCAATAAAGTTATTTTAATTTACATTTACAATAATTATAATTATTGTAATAATTATTTATACAATATTTACAATTAGTATTAACACAGCAGGAACGCTTACAATACTTGTGGTAGAGTGTATAATTTTTAGATTTATAGCCCGTGCTCAAATATTTATTAAAACTAATTTTAACAATGCAAAATATTTTTTTTAAATTTTTGCAAAAAGGAATTAAGAAAAAAACCGAAATTAACCCAAAAACCGTTTTAAATTTAAAGGGTTCGGTTTCTAGAGTTACGTTTAAAAATAATATGGGATCGGTTACGGTTCCGGTCCACGAATAAATACCGGTTCCGGTCCGGTTTTCTGTCCAAAAACGGTCCATGGCTCTAACATAAAACAATAGCCAACAAAAATAAATACGAAACAGGTACAACCTAATACCTAGGTATGTTTTGCCATTTTAAAACTTTAATTTCACTTATTTAACACCCGCAACGAATATGTAATTTCATGGCCCTGCTGAGAGTGAGCGAAATAATTACCTGATTGTTCATTTGTAAAGTTTAGCCCATACCTTATTTATAAATAAGTTTAATATAAAAAGCTCGGGCAAATTTTATATTAAACCAATTTACATTTCGAAGTAATGCAATGTGGCCCTAAAAATGTTCTATTTATAAATAACATTTTATTTCTTCAACATACCATATTTTTTTTTTGTTTTGTTAAAATTGATTTTGGAATGTGACAACAATTGGATGCCTTTTAATAAAATTGGGAATCTAAGTCATTTCACATTACAGACGGACTAAAATTATTAAAATCACGCTAAGCATTATTATATTCGAAAACTCAAAGCGATAACACTGAACAGGACCGTATTTAAAGCTATCGATTTTACGATATAAATGAATTAATTAGAACCAAATTTGTTGTCATTTTAATGTCAATATTATTTTATTAATTTTTTCAATTCAATATTCTTAGACCGCAGCCATTTTTTTTGTGGAACATGTCGGTACTTTTCCAGTTCTTCGAGAGTGAGGTGCGTTATCAAGAACGATAACAGCATTCTCTTCTAAACGAAATAAAATGTCAGAAAACCACTGTTTAAATGAATCCATTCATTTCCTCGTGGTAATCTCCTGTCTTCTTGGATTTGAAGCTCCATAAGCCAACGTTAACAAATTCATTATCATTTCCAATACGACAGAGGAATATTCGTTTCCATTAAAAAGTAGAAATGCATTTATTACACCAAACCACTTAAATATGCATTTATATTCGAACATTTTTACTTCTATAATTTTTTTTCATAAGATACGTTCAATTTAATTAGAAATTTTTAGGAGATTTAGTACTTAAAAATGTATGTATAGTTGAAATGCGTCTTTTTTGCTAAAAGAATAATTTAATAATAACGAGATGAGTCTTTTTGGCTTAGGACGGCAGGATAGTCAATACTTACAAATTGGTTACATTTTCGCACCCAACAACAATACATTTCACAACCATTAACACGTTTTATCACTTTTAAGGCGCAAAAATGTATTTAGTAATTCAAAAATTATGATCGACATCAATAATTATGATTGACATTGACATTTGCAAATAGCGTTTGTACAGATGTCTGCAATTTACAAATAGATATAGTTCAGGTATTGTAGCTCTAGAGGGCAGTGGTGGGAGAGTTTCCAATCTATGGGGTGAATTATCTTTGGTGTACCACCGTTTTACCCTGGTTAATCTCCTAGAGTAGGCGGAGCTATGACTGACCACAAGCGATTTTTGAATGTCGTTACTACTGAGCTATTGCTCCCAACTGTACATCACGCGTTTCCAATGTGTTTGTTTTGGTCCGTATATTATGTGAAAAGACTGTAGAAGATTCTTCTTTTTTCCACTAGTCGCATAATACGTTCTTGTATTCATTGCAATGACCAATATATTTTAATTCTTAAACAATCCCAGTATTAAACAAATTTTTAAAAACACTTTTTCAAAATAAGAAAAAGTTTTTCCCATACCGGGAATCGAACCCGAGCCTCCTGGGTGAAAGCCAGGTATCCTAGCCACTAGACCATATGGGAGATACTTAAAGAGAAAATGAAGTTAACTGCACGCGACTTAAGTTTACAATACGAGCCTAGACCAGATATAGTATATATGATGGGGCAGTAACTTATACATGCATAATAAGTATATAAGGGCCGTGCGCAGAATTTGCTTCTGGGGGGATATCAACATTTCAACATTTAGTAATAAACCTAGCTTAATCCACAATCCATGTGGATTGTGGCTTAATCGACAGGTATGCGATTATAATCCAGGGCCGGATTTACCTATAAGCAAGGCTCTGACTTGCTTAGGGCCCTTAAGAATGTAAATTCGGGCCCTGGCTAGGTTTAAACTTCCATGTTTAATTGTTTATTTCTTAAACACCACAGACAATTTTTTATCATGTATTACTTACTTATTTATGGGCGCCCAACATTTTGTATATAATACAAACTGCTGATAATTATTGTTTATTTAAATAAAAATATATACAAAAAAAAAATATTTTTTTTTCTTCTCGTCTCTTGTGAAAATATGTTGGTTTGTCATGTTTTAAGAGCCCTGTCAAAAGATCAGCACCATTAAAAAATTTTTAGGGGTCGCTCAAGATTTTTAAAAATTACCAAAATCGTCAAAAATTGGATTTTTTTTTATTTGAATTTTTTTTCACGTTCCGATATTATTTTTTAATTTAAAAATAATAATGATTCTGAAAATTTCAAATCGATATTTTAATTTCTAAAGGTCGCTCAAGATTTTTTTAACTTTCAAAGTAGAGTAAGTTTTTTAATGTTTTCGAGCGACCTCTGAATATAAATATCAACGAACTTTTAGCGACCTTTAGAAATCAAAATATTGATTTAAAATTTACAGAATTTTTATTATTTACAACCTAAAAAATAATATCGAGACGAGAAAAAGAATTAAAATAAAACAAAAATCCAATTTTTGACGATTTTGGTAATTTTTAAAAATCTTGAGCGACCCCTAAAAAATTTTTAATGGTGCTGATCTTTTGACAGGGCTCTTAAAACATGACAAACCAACATATTTTCACAAGAGACGAGAAGAAAAAAACATTCTTTTTTTTGGGCCACCCTAATATATATATATATATATATATATATATATATATCGTCACCGTTCTGGCAAAAGTCATTAACTCCATTTTTGTCTAAAAGTAGTTAACTACCTTCGCGATCCTAGAACAATTATATCTGTGGTCTAGAAAAACTCGCGAAGGTAGTTAACTACTTTTAGACAAAAATGGAGTTAATGACTTTTGCCAGAACGGTGACGATATATTAAATGTAGTTTAAAGCGATATATTTTTATAAGTCATAAAATCAAGATAAACATTGTTTCAAATTTTACTTTAAATGTTTTATTTTTAGTCTTTCAAACTGGCATGGTGGGATACCCAGAATCCCTAACAGATCCAAGTTACCATTCTCAAATTTTGGTCCTTACTTACCCCCTCATTGGAAATTATGGCGTTCCAGAATCCAAGGTTGATGAAAATGGACTTCCATAGTAAATAAACTATCCAATATTATACAGTGTGTCCTACGGTCAACAGAAAATATTTAAATAGGAATTTCTTGTCAAATTCAAAATTTTGCCTTTGCCTGTATTTAAAATTGAGCAAGATATAGCACTTTTCAGTATGCCAAGAAGTTCTTTATAATTATATGCGACTCAAAACTTAAACATTATTTTTGGAAAACATTAAATTTTACCCAATTAAACGTTGTCACCTTGACAGTAATGTTGAGAGAAAGGCTCAGAATCCATTGTGGATTTTGGGCTACATATTATAATAATTATTAAGATCGTCTACAAGCTCAAGGCAGTGCATTTCGCTCAATTTTGTAAATTATGAAAATTGGTAAAGAAAAAACTCCGTAGTTAAAATATTTTCGGATAACCATGGGACAATCTGTATAGAAACAATATTTAATGCTATTTTTTAGTTTCTTTGAATCTCATCGTATATGGGCAGCAGGTCTCGTGGTTGGCGAACATTGCGACAACCCAAGCCATTGGCGTAACACACAGACTTTGTCCAAGTGGATGGAAACAGAACACATCCCAGGTATACAGGGCATCGATACCAGACAACTCACTAAAAAGTTGCGAGAAAAAGGAAGCATACTCGGAAAAATTGTCTATGAACTTCCAATATCTGATAAAGTAAAAATTCCCGACCCAAATTTGAGAAATCTAGTGGAAGAAGTATCTGTTAAGGTATTAAGATCCAATACATATTCGAATGCTTCTGCCAAATAAAAAAATACCTACATTAAAATTGTTTCTAGAATTTTATTTTATTATTTAAATGTTTTTAATGTAATATATTTTCAGAGCATAACAACTTATAACAAAGAAGGCTCCCCAAGGATATGTGTCATAGATTGTGGTCTAAAATACAATCAATTAAGATGTTTACTGAAAAGAGGCTGTCGAGTGGATGTTGTTCCATGGAATCACAAAATAAACTCAGAGGATTACGATGGTTTATTCCTTAGCAATGGTCCGGGTAATCCAGAAATGTGCAAGCAAACCATACTAAATATACGCGGCATTATAAACAGCGGAAAAGTTAAACCTATCTTTGGTATTTGTTTGGGCCATCAGTTGCTGTCAATGGCTATTGGATGCAAGAGTTTTAAAATGAAGTATGATTTAGTCGTAATAATGTATTCTTAAATACTAACATTTATCTCTTTAGATATGGAAATCGCGGTCACAACCAACCCTGCATTCATCACGGAACTGAAAGATGCTTCATGACATCTCAAAATCACGGTTTCGCTATCGACCAATCGACACTTCCGAAAGACTGGAAACCTCTTTTTACGAACGCCAATGATCAGACTAACGAAGGCATAATACATTCAACGTTGCCGTATTTTAGCGTGCAGTTCCATCCCGAACATACAGCCGGTCCTGAAGATTTGGAATGCCTTTTCGATGTTTTCATTGATAGCGCCAAGAACTACAACAATACTAAAATGGAGGTTATAGCTACATTAACTAAGGCTATAGAGTCTAAGAATGTGGCTAAACCTTTGGATAAACTTCCGGAGAAAGTCCTTATTATTGGTTCTGGTGGTTTGTCTATAGGCCAAGCAGGAGAGTTTGATTATTCAGGTTCTCAGGCTATTAAAGCATTGAATGAAGAACATGTCAAGACCATCCTGATTAACCCCAACATTGCCACCGTGCAAACATCTAAAGGACTTGCCGATAAAGTCTACTTTCTACCCTTGATACCAGAATACGTAGAACAAGTTATACGAGCTGAGAGACCCGATGGAGTTCTTTTAACATTTGGAGGACAAACCGGTCTAAACTGCGGCGTTGAATTGGAACGACTAGGTGTGTTTAAAAAGTACAACGTGAAAATCCTAGGCACCCCAATACAAGCAATTATAGACACAGAAGACAGAAAAGTGTTTAGTGAAAGAGTAGCCAAAATCGGGGAACGCGTAGCGCCAAGTATGGCTGCTACTTCAGTGGAAGAGGCTTTAAAAGCCGCCGAACAACTAGGCTACCCTGTAATGGCGCGGGCCGCCTTTTCATTGGGTGGGTTGGGTTCAGGTTTCGCGGATAATAAGGAAGAACTAAAAGCTCTGTCCATCCAAGCTTTGGCCCACTCAAGTCAATTGATCATCGATAAATCCCTCAAAGGCTGGAAGGAGGTTGAGTACGAAGTTGTGAGGGATGCTTTTGACAACTGCATCACGGTGTGCAATATGGAAAACGTTGATCCACTTGGTATTCACACTGGAGAATCCATTGTAGTTGCGCCAAGTCAAACGTTATCTAACAAAGAATACAACATGCTACGTACTACTGCTATAAAAGTTATCCGCCATTTTGGTGTCGTAGGAGAATGCAACATACAATACGCTTTGAATCCAAACTCCGAAGAGTTTTTTATCATCGAAGTTAACGCTAGATTATCCAGAAGTTCGGCTTTAGCCAGCAAAGCTACTGGTTACCCTCTGGCTTACGTAGCAGCAAAATTAGCTTTAGGTACTCCCCTACCTAAAATCCACAACTCTGTAACTGGCATTACAACAGCCTGTTTTGAACCAAGTTTGGATTATTGCGTGGTCAAAATACCACGCTGGGATCTGCACAAGTTTTCTAGGGTTTCCACGAAAATTGGTAGTTCTATGAAAAGTGTGGGAGAAGTAATGGCAATCGGTAGAAATTTTGAAGAAGCTTTTCAAAAAGCATTGAGAATGGTCGATGAAAATGTTAATGGTTTCGATCCAAACATCAAGAAAGTGGACGACGAAGAGTTAAAGGAGCCAACTGATAAAAGAATGTTCGTAGTTGCTGCCGCTCTAAAGAATGGCTACTCTGTGGACAAACTTTACAATCTCACTAAAATCGATAGATGGTTTTTGCAGAAAATGAAGAACATCATAGAATGTACATTACACATGGAACACATAGATCAGCCGCATTTGCCACATGATATTCTTCTTAAAGCCAAACAAATGGGCTTCTCAGATAAACAAATAGCAGAGGCTGTTAAAAGTACAGAGTTGGCTATAAGAAAACTACGTCAAGAGTACAACATTTTGCCTTTTGTTAAGCAAATTGATACTGTGGCTGCCGAGTGGCCCGCAACTACAAACTACTTGTATCTCACTTACAACGCTTCATCGCATGATTTGACTTTTACCGAAGAACACGTCATGGTGATAGGTTCAGGCGTGTACAGAATTGGAAGTTCAGTTGAATTTGATTGGTGCGCTGTTGGTTGTTTAAGAGAGTTGAGAAACTTGAACAGGAAAACTATTATGGTAAATTACAATCCGGAGACTGTTAGTACCGATTACGATATGTCGGACAGATTATACTTTGAGGAAATATCGTTTGAAGTCGTAATGGATATTTACGATCTAGAAAACCCAACTGGGATAATTCTTTCTATGGGCGGTCAACTACCGAATAACATCGCCATAGATTTGCACAGACAACAAGCTAGAATTCTTGGAACGTCACCCGATTCCATTGATGGTGCAGAAAACCGATTTAAGTTTTCCAGAATGTTGGATCGTATTGGAATAATGCAACCTAGGTGGAAAGAATTAACGAATTTAAAATCAGCTATAGATTTTTGCGAAGAAGTGGGTTATCCTTGTCTTGTCAGGCCTTCGTATGTTCTTAGCGGCGCCGCTATGAACGTAGCTCACTCAAATCAAGATTTAGAGACATATCTTAACGCCGCCAGTGATGTGTCCAAAGAACATCCAGTGGTAATTTCCAAATTTATCCTGGAATCCAAGGAAATTGATGTTGATGCTGTGGCACTTGACGGAGTTATATTATGCATGGCAGTATCGGAACACGTTGAAAACGCCGGGGTTCACTCAGGCGACGCCACTTTAGTAACACCGCCAAGAGATATCAACATAAAAACCTTAGCCAAAATCAAACAAATCGTCAACTCGATCGCTGCTTCCCTAGAAGTATCCGGACCCTTTAACATGCAATTAATAGCTAAAGACAACGACTTAAAAGTCATAGAATGTAACGTAAGAGTTTCAAGATCTTTCCCATTCGTATCCAAAACTTTAGATCACGATTTCGTCGCTATGGCCACCAGAGTTGTCATGGGTGAACCCGTGGAACCCGTTGATGTTTTAAACGGCTGCGGAAAAGTAGGAGTCAAGGTTCCACAATTCTCATTCTCTCGATTGGCAGGAGCTGATTTTATGTTGGGAGTGGAGATGGCTTCCACAGGAGAAGTGGCCTGCTTCGGGGAAAACAGATACGAGGCTTACTTAAAAGCTATGATGAGTACTGGTTTCAGTATTCCCAAGAAGTCTATTCTTTTGTCTATTGGAAGTTTTAAGGTACGATTTAAATAAATATTAAATCATTATGTATAAAGTTTGTTTTTTAGCACAAAATGGAGTTATTACCGAGCATGAGAGCTCTACAGAAAATGGGATATAAACTTTACGCGAGTTTGGGAACGGCAGATTTTTATAATGAACACGGTGTCGATGTGAGTATCTTTTATTAAAAAAAAATAGTAAATAATACAGTAATGTAATTTAACAATCATGTGAGGTACTTGTTATAAAATTAAAGTTAACGTTTTTATCGGGAGTGGAATTAGACGAATCTGTAGTGTCCAAATTAAAACTAACATTTTTAGTAGGTGAAGATGGCGACACCTCCCCACTTCCCACATTTTCTTCTGAATTTGATACTAATCTTGACGTTTTTGCCTTAATATATAGTTTTCTAGGTCTTAAAGCTACGGTTGACGAATTTTTTGCCTTGTAACTATTATTTCCTTTGTCATCCTGTTTAAGGGCTTCGCCATAAACAACGGAAGGTCTTAAAGGTGGCGTTGGAGGTTTGTTTCTTGAAGTTTTTGAAAGTTTTATTTTAGCATGTTCTTCGTATTGTTGTATATCCCTGCGGAAATCTGCGACTTTGTCTATTTCCGTTGGGTATAATTGCTGGTAAATATTCGTTAGGTATGTTGTCAGTTTGCAATAGCGTATCGTCTGTTGGGGAGTCGACATATCCATGCTTTTTGTGAAAATTCCTATAAAGTTTTTAATAAAAATCGTGAGGATTTCTCTTCTGTTGATGAAGGTTAAGTCGCCAGTTGGTGTCCACTAAAAATTTTAAATTATTATTTTCATACAAGAAGCAAAAAAAAGAACTTACGTCTAAGTTGATAGAATCAATAGAATTCTTTCTTTCTTCTTTTGGTTCGTTGAGATTCTTTAAAGTGTTTTTCTTATACGTTTCCTGCAGAATGTTATTCCATTTTTGTCTGGGATCTGATTCATCGTAAATGTTTTCAATTTTTTTAAACCCCTTTCTTTCCACAACGGCTTTCTTTACTAAATTCTCGTGTAGTTTATCAAAATCTAAAGTTGAATAATAACTATCCGTATTGTACTTTATGTTCCTTAAGGCTGATAGTAAACGCATTAGGGGTCTTTGTAGAATTGAGTGGAATACTTCCTGAGCGGTCAGTAAATATTGGCTTGGAATATTTTCAAACAGATTTCTTTGTTTAATAAAAAAATCGGGGAGAGATTGACAACCAAGCCTTTCAACCAAGTTATCTATAATGCTGAGTAATTTATCGAATATCTCAATATCAGACCAATTAAATGTGGTTTCCATTTCCCAAAACATATGCATCCGAATGTGCTCTGGCAGGAGACCTTGCTGTTTAGTCTTGGGTTCTATAAAGTGTTTATGGATTGCTAATAAATATAGGTAACATCTTATTTGGCAATGATTCATGGTGCATTGTAGAATATGTTCTGCCTTTGGAAAGCATATTTCCCATTCTATGTCACTCTCAGGATTTTTACCTTTCTTTGGAGTGTAACCTTTTGGTATAGCTACCGCTTTAGTCTTTATAATGTCTTGAATAACTTTATCTGAAGGCCATTTAACTTGTTTACCAGTTTCCAGAAAGTTCCTAACAGGTCTTTCTTCTCTATCGACAAAATCATAAGCATACTCAGTGGGCCATTCTATGGTTACTGCAGGTATGATTTCCCATGGTACCTGTTGTTTTAGACAACCATCGGTGCCATCCTTTACAGTGCACAACACTTTTCCAGCAATGTAATCGGCTCCTTTGATGGCATCTTCATTGAATCCCAAAGTTTCTGCTGCAATATGAAACGAATTGTTCTTAAAATGTTTCATATACATTTTGGAATCCAAATAAGTTATTTTCTTGTACAATTTTTGCACATCTATTTCGTCGCCTTTATTTAAATTCTTAGCAGCCTCATAGTCTTCCACTTGGATAGATTTAAAGCACTCACTTGGTAAATTTGTGTCTCTTCTTTCAAAATCGAACTTCCCCCCTATTGGTTTTGGAGTTCTTGAGTAGGTGACTTCTTTGTAAAGCTCCTCTTCTGAGTTTTGTTTATCTTCGGTATCATTGATATTTGTTTTATCGTTATCGTCATTATTTGGGTCTTCTTTAAATATAAATTTGACAAAACCTTAAATAAAAATTAGTAAAAACCATAATTAACGTTATTAAAGTTACCTTTTCTTTTGGTAAACTCCATGTAAAACTGATACCTTGGCTTATCCACGGTATCATATTCGTTCAAATTATCCTCATCGTCCAATGAAACCATCTCGACACGGTCATCTATAAGAAATATTCTTCTGGCTGCCAAAGGCTCAGAAATCGATTTGTTCGGGCCGTGTTTCGGTCTGTATGACACGTGTTTATTCACGATCTTTAAAATGCAATCTGGTTCGATCTCCATCATTTTGTTTTCAGAAAGAAGTGTTGTGTTATGGTTTCCAAGATTTACAGTTTCCGATTTTGTTTCTATGAATTTTGTCCTAAATGGTCCCAATTCTCTGCAACCAAGTGTTTAGTATCTTAACATTGCAAATATTACATATAAATATCTTAAAAATACTTCTAAACAGTACACTGTAGAAGGGCAATACAAAAAACAAAGATGGTTTATTTTTTTTGCTTCGAAGCTAGGGGCCGCGCTACCAGTTTTGACGAAAGACCTACCTGATTTATAAGAATTTTGGGGAACCTAAACATATAAGGTATCTTAGATAAGTTAACTAAGATAATTATAATTAATCAATTAATCCTTTATAATATTTTATTAAAAGGATTAAAATGATTTACAACTCATTATTGTAGCTCTTAAATACATTTCAAAATTACTTACTTGTAACTTTTAAAAAACATTATACATAACAACATGTTATTTAACACAAATTTATCCGGTTCACTTTCAAGTTTCTGCCTTAATTCTTCGGTGATTCTTTTGTCAAAATCAGCAAAAGAACTAACTATGGATCTTCGGTCAGTAGCCACATTTCTTGTTTGATCACTGCCTGCTGTTGACTGACCATCATCATCTTTTGAAAATTTACAGCCCATTTGTGCGGCGGATTCGCGTCGACTGATTTTTGAACGTGTATCCAGTCGATAATCAAATTCTTATCGATAAATTGTTTTCTTATCGGATTTAAAACCAAGTGGAAATTCTACTGTTTAAAGTACTTTAAAATGTGCAAAAATGGTCCTACATCTCGAAAGGAAGGAGTTGAATGATTTATTAGGGGCTATGAATCATTCATAACAGTGCATCACAAATAACATGCCTACAAAAAGATTGTTTATTAGCATAAACAAAAAAATGTAGCAAACGAAACGCTACAGTATCAACTAATTAACTAATTTTCATTCGTATTCTTTCTTAGGTTGAGTCTGTGCAATGGACCTTCGATAATATAGACGATATTACCAGCCAAGGAGAGTTGACACCTCTGGCCGAATTTTTATCCAAAAAGGAGTTTGACTTGGTCATCAATTTACCAATGAGAAATGGAGGTGCAAGAAGGGTTTCTTCCTTTATGACGCATGGTTACAGAACCAGAAGATTGGCTATAGATTATTCCATTCCATTGGTTACTGATGTCAAATGTGCTAAACTTTTGGTCGAGGTAAGTGTTTTTATTTATTAATTAAGAAGCTTTAATTCGACCACTTGGGTCAAGGTAATATAAAATTCCTAGAATTTGCTATCGTTATAGTATCTTATAAATGTCAACATATTAGAAAAACTTGCTGATAAAACAAAACAGAATTTTTATTTATTTATCTCGATTATAATTTATAAAAAAAATTGTTGTCAAGATTGCAAAAAAGCAACAACGTTTACATTCAATTATTTTATTCTGATATTCCAGTTATAAATGCAAACCCATAATATAATGTATACAAAATATAAAATAATAGGGCTACACTGTGGTAAACAATCCACATAAAAATATTTATTATAATACCACAAGCTATGTCCTTATAAAATAAATAAATATACAGTATCACAAAAACAGACAAAATAAATAATGCCACAACCGTATGGGAAAAATATTTTTCCTTGTATTGTTCCAAGATTTTGTCACTGGTGAGGGGTTTTTGAAAGATTCCTCGGAAAATGTTATCCAACCGTATTAAATCATTTTCATCCACTTTTTCACATTCTGAATACTTAAGAAGAGACTGATAATCATTATTTTTCAACACTATCAATCCATAATGTTTACTATCAGATGTATCGGCTTCTGTAGCATTTAAAATAAATCCTATAAGACGTTTCAAATATGGCACCGAATCTTCTTGATCATCACTTATTTTTATCACTTCTGTTTTATACAAAAAATAGCCTCCGAAAAAGTAGAACAACGTCACCGCTATCAAAATTTTTCTATACATCTAAAAACCATTTAATTTAACAAAGTTTGTTAATTTATTTTAATAGCCTACCTTTGTTCAAGTGCATTGTGGAAACACAAATAAAAAACGTAAAAATACAAATCTATTGATATTATTGTTACTATCTAAACGTCATATTGGTATTATCTAAAATAATTAGTTTGATCGTGGCATTGGCCACTGCACTTTAAACAAAGTGTCTTATCACTTTTAAGCACATGTAAAAATTAAGTGATACATTTTAAAATGTATCATTTAATTTTCACATGTGTTTTTAATCCAATAATATATATTTAATATATAGGATTATTTAAATCCTAGTTATCAGGTTTAGATGCAATTAAATAAATAAATTTTAATGAAAAAAAAAATGCGTTTATTGTTAATGTTTATTGATTACAAATGTTGTTCAATAATATTCCAGCAAACACAACCGTAAAGGTTCTATAATGACCATTTATAAACATGCGTTTAATAAAATTATAAAGGCTAACTCTAATGGAACTGTAGGTACATATTAGGTAAGAAATGGAATCCATAATATTTAAATAAATAAAAAAAGTTTACTTGATTTTTTTGCTAGATTGTCTGTAACAAAGAAAACCAGGTTTTCTTTGACAATAATAATTTATTTAATTCGCAATTGTCCCAATTTTGACCTCAATCAATTAAACCTTTCTACTAAATTCTTTGGCAGTATTTTGTCTGTAATAAGAGTTCTAAAATTTGTAAAATTAGAAATGCACCTACTTACTCATTTAAATTTAACAACCATTAGGTATTGTGGTATAACATACTATTAAAACTATAGGAATTACACTGGGCGCCATTTTTAAATTATGTCCTTAACCAAAGGATAATTGGATAACGTTTATCGAAAAAAAAACTAGCGCCAAAAACTTTTTTTGAGGTAAACAAAATTATTTGCAAAATAACTAATTTTTTCTTGCTCAAAAAATTAATAATGATTTGGGAACCCTCTCAATCCTTTTGACCACAGTTTCAAATGATAATCAGCCATTTGAGCATTATTAAAAATGATAAATTTTACAAATAATTTTACCAAGCCCAGAAAAAGTTTTTGGCGCTATCCAATTAATGGTTTGGTTGGAGTCCCATTAAGTTGATACTAAAACTTGCCATATATGGTAAAATATACAAATATTAGCATGAAAAGTGCCATTGCATCACGACAGCCTCTTATCAAAATTAATATTTTTATTAAAACTTTTCTGTAAAGGCCCAGTACAAGAAAAGCTTTGGCTAAAAATGCCATTATTAAGCCATGAAACTATGTAATGGGCCATTACATGATTGAGACATGTGTTTGCTGGGATGTTAATCTTTAATCTTAATAGTTTTAAAAAACTTACGGTAGTAAATAATTACCTTTTTTATAAGAGTAAAAGTTCACATGGCTACAAATTGCTCATTCTCAATACAAAATCCCTTTTTAGGCCATAAGATTGATAGGCCAAGCGCCCCCCATGAAGACCTCGATGGACTGCATGAGCTCCAGAACGGTTGTCAAGCTTCCAGGTCTGATCGACACCCATGTGCACGTACGAGAACCCGGCGCAACCCATAAAGAAGATTACAACACGTGCACTGCAGCTGCTTTGGCAGGAGGTGTTACTTTGATATGCGCCATGCCCAACACTAACCCAGCGATTGTCGACGAAGATGCCTTCCTTTTGGTGAAAAAGTTGGCCAAGGATAAAGCTAGGTGCGACTACGCCATTTTTGTCGGGGCTTCTTCGACAAATTACGATAACATATTTGAATTGGCAGGTGATGCAGCAGGTTTAAAAATGTATCTTAATGAGACATTTACTACTCTGAAGCTAAATGATCTTGATGTTTGGGGTAAACATTTGGCTAATTGGCCCAAGAAAGCACCACTTTGCGTTCACGCCGAATCTCAAACAACCGCGGCGATTATTTTGCTTGCAAGTCTTCACAATAGGCCAGTTCATATCTGTCATGTGGCTCGTAAAGAAGAAATACTCATCATCAAAGTTGCTAAAGAGAAAGGTCTAAAGATTACATGCGAAGTTTGCCCTCATCATTTATTCTTGACAACCAAAGATGTGGATCATTTAGGAGAGAAGTTTAGTCAAGTGAGACCGGTTTTAGTATCGCCTGAAGATCAACAAGCCCTTTGGGATAATTTGCACATCATAGATTGCTTTGCAACCGACCACGCACCACACACTGTAGAGGAAAAAAATAGCGACAATCCACCGCCAGGTTTTCCAGGTTTGGAAACGATTTTGCCGCTTCTTTTGAATGCTGTTAACGAAGGCAGACTTACGATCGAAGACATAATTAATAAATTTCACAAAAATCCGAAAAGAATTTTCAACTTGCCAGAGCAACCCAACACTTACGTGGAAGTTTACTTGGATGATGAATGGGTGATTCCAAATGCCATGCCTTACTCAAAATCCAAATGGACGCCGTTTGCAGGCAAAAAAATCAAGGGCTCCATCCACAGAGTGGTTTTACGCGGTGAAGTGGCCTACGTTGATGGTCAAGTTTTGGCCCAACCAGGCTACGGACAGAACGTACGAGATTTGGACATGAAGAGAACTATAGAATCTCGTACCAGCTCTGCACTTCGTATTGATAGTAGACCAATGTCGCCTGCAATGTTCCCTAGCATCGAGAAAAGTGAATACGAGCAGGAGGAATCTATGCATAGACTACTCAACGATAGTGGTAGAGTACACGATCATCACTTAGAAAGTGGTAGATTGAGCGCAATATCACCAATACCGCCATCACATGCCAGAATCCGTACTGAAAGTGGTTCTTACAACGATCATCATCACAACAGTCATGGACTACATGGAAAACACATCATAGGCGTCGACATGTTCTCTAAAGAACAACTGAACGATATCTTCAACTTAGCTCAAACATTCCGTATTTACGTGCAAAAAGAACGCCCTTTGGAACACATTCTCAAAGGCAAAATCATGGCTTCCGTGTTCTATGAAGTTAGCACCAGAACTAGCTGTAGTTTTTCTGCTGCTATGCAACGTCTTGGTGGTAGGGTTATCCACATGGACGAATCCAGTTCTTCGGCGAAGAAAGGCGAGACTTTGGAAGATTCCATTACAGTTATGGCTGGGTATGCTGATGTAATTGTTTTAAGACATCCAGAACCAGGATCTGTAGTGGTGAGTAAACATTTTGGAGGTTCAATTTCTTGCTGTTGTTAATCAATTGCAAAAAAACCTTTAAATTAGGATCTAGTTTATATGAACTGTTTTTTTTTACAGAAAGCATCCCATTTCTGCAGAAAACCATTAATTAACGCTGGTGATGGTGTCGGTGAACATCCAAGTCAAGCTTTGTTGGATATATTCACAATTCGTGAAGAAATTGGTACAGTTAATGGATTAACCATTACTTTAGTGGGTAAGTATCTAACTATTAGTATTTAGTATTTAACTACAAGGACTTTAATTTCTGAACTTTGTACACTTATCATTTGCGATGCTTTCTATCTCAAGATGTAAAATATCTCTTTTTTTTAAGGCGACTTGAAAAACGGAAGGACCGTTCACTCCTTAGCCCGCCTTTTGACACTCTACAACGTTCAACTGCGTTACGTCAGCCCGGCAAGTCTCAAAATGCCCAGCCACATAAAGAAACTCATTGCCTCAAAGGGCATTTCTCAGGAAGAATACGACACCTTGGAGTCGGTTTTACCGGACACAGACGTTTTGTACATGACCAGGATCCAGCGCGAAAGATTTGACAGTCAAGAGGAATACGAAAAAGCTTGCGGCCATTTCATCGTGACTCCGCAGATAATGACGAGGGCTAAAAGGAAGATGGTGGTTCTCCATCCTTTGCCGAGGGTGTTCGAGATCAGTCCCGAATTTGACAGCGACCCTAGAGCTGCCTACTTTAGACAAGCCGAGTGCGGAATGTATGTCCGAATGGCCTTGCTCGCTATGGTTTTGGGAAAATGTTAGGTTTTATAATATGTTTTAAATATATGATTTAGAGATAACTTTTAATTTTAATTTATTTTTTACTCCCATCTTTGTTGTCAAGCTATGACTTTATGAAGTTAGCAACAAGTTTTTACTCACAATCTGAAGTCAGTTTTAAGTTGGTTGATAGTTGTGAAATGTTATACAATCTTTAAAATAAAGTCCCTCTCTTTTAAAATAATACAAAATGTAAACATCTTAATAGAAAAATACAAAAGTATTAAATACATTCTCAACGTCAATATTTGAAAAGTTTAAAATAGGTTGAACTGACCTTTTGATTTCGCCAACAGTAAACTAGATTTAACTGATTAACCATTAAAAATTTCAGGTGGAGTGCCCATAAAACATTATCTTCACTTTAACTGCAGAAAACTGCTTCCATATTGAGTTTAACCGGTGCTTAGTTCAATTTCGAGAGATATATTTCGCGCATAAAAATTTGACATTTCGAACGGCGCGCCTGTATTACAGATTCCCAAGTTACTAACTTAAAGTTAAAATGGATAATCTATTGTTTTATAAATGTCGCTCTATAAAAATATTTAATTTAAATCATTTTAATAATAATAATAATTTTAATAATAAGTATTTGTCGTAGAAAAAGTTTAATATATACTATACCTATATATGCAACTCGTTTATACACTTTTCTAGACACTCAATTAATTAAACACATTAAACCAACATTTTGATGAAAAAATAAATTTGTTCGGCATGAATTTTACATCCCACAATAAACTACTTCTAAAGTGCAAATAAACTATAATGCATTGTTTGTACAGTAAATTAAAGGCTACGCTAAGTGATAAGTGACAGTATACCTGGCGGACGCACCAACTCTGACAATGGGAAGAATTCTATGTGAAGAACAAACGAGGCTAACCAAGAGTGGAAAGGTCCATCATCTGCAAACATTTTATAAGTACTCTTAACTGTCTGCATGACCTAATATATTAGGTACGTAAATTTGCAACATTAACACGTTCAGACTACACAACACTAATAGCGGTTCTTTCCGCTTAAACACAACCCTAGTGAAAAAATGTAAAACAAAGAGCGACATCAATATTTAATAAGACAATAGTAACAAAACAATACAAAAAATCAATAAATCCAAGAATTTCCAAATCTTATCCCTGACAAATAAATCAATCACGAAGTCACAAAATCTATAAACTTAAAAGACCTTTTCCAATAAACAAAAGTGTGTAAACTAACCGAGACATAAATAAACATAGGAACCTAGGAACTTTTAGACCCTACGTTGAAAATGAAATAATCGATCTCAGCAGTCGTTACGAAAACATAAAAGACAAAGACGTACTTAAACCACAGTATAAAGAACTGTATACTGTGCTTAAACAACTAGGGCATAAACGGCTATTTTGTAGTAGAGGAAACAACACTACCGGCCTCGGACGTCTTCAACGTCGCAAATGAAATCACGAACAGGGGGAGAGACAGTCCCTACAGCTAACTAACAACTCCCCAACTTTAAATGTTTGGAGTAATACTAATTTCCCGGTCTAGGGGGTTCCGAGTCGTACATAGATTTGAGTCGGCGTAATTGTCCCCTAAAAACCAAAATGTCTTTCCCCTTGTCCCCACCTACTTTTGTTCCTACTGGGCGTATAGCAATGGCCCGGCGAAACCGGGAGAGGGTATTCAAACTATTCGCATGTCGCAATCGAGCTCCAAATATGGTACAGTACCGGACGCGGTGGACATTCGCGGGTGAAGCCGTGCAGTTGCTGGTGGCGGAAAAAAATCGGCGTACGGTAACGGAGGCTTGTGCAATGCTCAGGAGAAATGAGGCAATGAGGCCGGTTATACGACTCTTACCGTGGATTCATGCAAGCATGTCTTAATACTAACTTAGTCTTTGTCCTTATCTTAAAGAGATAAAACTGTAATAATGAGCGGAACCGTACATGCAATTTAAATTCGTCTTAATCTAACTTAATTTAAATCCTTATCCTAAGGAAAGTTGGTTTACTTTTATCCTTATGTCCTAAGTTCTTAATAAAAATAGGCATGTACTGGTAATGTAGCCAACTTCATAGTCTAATGTAGCTACTTTCATTGTATTTACATTTTTGAAAATTTAGTATTTTGTGGGTTTGTTTTATATTTTTATATGTAAAAATTTAAACAAACTGTTTAACAAATTTTACGCGAATTGGCGCCAAACAAATAACGCTGATAAGCAGTAATAATTATTAATAACATTTTTGGTTTTGGTATTACTGGTCACTAAACGTAATGCGCATGTAAAATCCTTAATAGTAAATGTATGAAAGGTTCATTTTTATGGGATAAAGATTAGTACAAGATTGGTACAAAGTTAAGTTAAGTTAATTTAAGACATGCTTGCATGAATCCACCTTTATACTCATAAACCTACTAAATTATTTTGTTTTACTAAATGTAGCCAATTAGGTATAATTTTAGTATCCCTAAATTATGCCCACTAAACCCTAACATTTTTGACTTCAAATTCCGAATAAAAAAACAAACTTTGGTTTATGCTCTCTCTGACCAACAAAATTCACTAAAAGTGGATTTATTGCGTTTTATTTCATCGCTCCTCAATTAAATATATAAATTTCCTATATTTCCTAGAAGTGTAAACTTCTATACATTTTTTAATGGACTAGTATTTTAATACTTTGCAAGTTAATAACTTGTACACAAAGGATAAAGCACAATTATCAAGAAATTAACTAATCTTTCTTATTTTTTAATAATATGTAAAGGTACTTTCATAATCAAATATAATAATAAGTATACTTATATATCGTTTTGTATGTTACAACTAGGGGTGTCAATCCCGAGCCCTTTTTCCAATCCCGGGACTTTCGGGACCAGAGATAACTAATCCCGGGATCCCGGGATCAGTCCCGAAAAAATTGATTAATCATTAATTTAAAAACCAATTTAAAACAAAGAAATAAACAACCTAACGAACGGTATCCAGGGCCGTTTCTGGAGAGCGTGCAGTGAGTGCACGCACGCAGGCGCAACATTTTGGGGGCGCAAAATCAAAGTCAATCGGTACTTTGTAACGATAAACTTTCTTGCAAATAAACTAATACTTAAACATACATAGGATAAAGGTTGCCGCTATTTTTTTCGGCCGCTATACAGCGCCTTTTGCCGCTTTAATATTAGCGACTTATTTTTTTGTTGTCGATATAAGTATCAAAATAAAATGAAAGAAATTGTCATAATATTTTTAGTATTTGTTTGATAGTTGCAGTTGACGGTAGCAAAGTTTAACAGTAGTCTACACAGTGCACGACTTTGTAACTATAGGTACTTTCTAAAAATGAATTAGTCAAAAGCAATTTGTATCCCGGACATTTAGCAGTCAACTCATATGTAAAATTGTCTGAATCCGAAAATGTCGTCAAAAGTTTTAAAAGTACATAGAACAGTTTTTGGGATATACTCAGTTTTTCATATAATATGGAATATAAGATATCTCAAAAACTGCTCTACTTTTATATTTTTTGACGATCTTTTCGGATTCAGGGGACAATTTTACATAATAATAAGCTGTTAAATGTCCAGGATACAAATTGCTGTGGACTACAGTTATTAGTGACTGCAGTCATGCTCTTTCACTTTAAAAACTAGTTATTTTTGACTAATTCATTTTTAGAAAGTACGTCACTAAAAACCAGTTGTAGTTTTTTTTTTTAATTTTGTTTTCTTTAGAGTATTTTTATTACTAACTATTTTTCGTGATTTCGTTTGTTTGGTAATTTAATACATATTTTTTATACTTAATTTCAGCAGTTTTTTTACATTTTCAATTACATTTTGCCAGTTTGTTGCAAAATATATATTTTTGAAATTTTAGGGCTTAAAATTAAAATATTTAATGTATTATATTTAAATATAAAAGGGGCGCACCAAAGAATGCTGCACGTAGGCGCCAGACACCCCAGGAACGGGCCCGACGGTATCTTTCGGACTTTTACTAGTTGGAGGAATGGTTTCCAAGAATTCGTAGGCACATTGTACCCACGTTTACCCACATTAACAAAAAATTCCATATTTTTATCAATTGGGGCTGTAACTTACATTGAAATTATCGAGTTTGTGACATTTTTCCAGGTTTGACGTTTAAAATATTTTATATTATAGGTTATGTACATGAATTTATTTTACAGTAACCTGTAATTTTACATTTTCTCAGCTAATTTTATGCTAAACGCGATGTATTTTCATTATTGTACGGCGGTGTATAATATTTTGACTTTTGAACTACTTACAAAAATTAAGTATTTCTATATATGTAGGTATGCTTATGAGTTTTATAATATGAAAATTCTCATACGCTTGAATAAATGTATATTACTAAGATCCCGGGATTGTGACTTTTGATCCCGGGATTTTCGGGATCGGATTTTTTACGGGATCCCGGGATTGACACCCCTAGTTACAACCCAACCAAAAGTTAATAAAAATCATATAATATATAAAACTTTATATTTATTAAAATTTATTTATACAGTAACAATCAGTCTTATAAAAATTAAGACGCAAGTATTTCATAAAATTATTTCTCTTATAAAAAATACTGTTGTAATCTTAAGACAATTTATCATTAAGAATGATTACAATTCACAGATCTTTTAAATCTCAATGATACACATGTTAATAAAACTCAGATAAAAATTAAACTAAATAAAAATGAACTTAAACATAAAGTTGATGATGCAACATCAATTCCATTTAAATGTAAAATTGTATTTACTGGTTGTAAAGTCACTGATATGTATATTTTCCTTATTGAGTTACTTTTTATATACATTATATTATATAATTTATATACTATACTATCACACTTGCAGATGTGGATGGTTGCTCCATGGCATCAGTTAATGTGTCCTCATCCTCCACAATCCTTTTTAGTCTTGGTATTCTTAAAAATTTACGCTTTTTCTTTACTTCTAACTGGTGGTTTGTTAATTTTCTAAAATAAAACAGTATATTCATATTTGACAGTTGGACGGAGTTTGAAATAATATCTGCTCAATTTTTCCAATTTTAAATCACTACAGTGTTTTAAAATTGAAACAATTGAGTCGGTGAAAAAACGAATTTCCTTTCTGAAAAAAAGTAAAAAAAACATAAATATGGGGAATTTTGAAAAAATTGACTTTTCCATTTATTCTCGTATTATCTATCAGTACAGGAATTAATCCTGTTTACGATTGAAAAGAGAGGAAAAACATAAATATGGGGAATTTTGAAAAAATTGACTTTTCCATGGAATGCATTTATTCTCGTATTATCTATCAGTACAGGAATTAATCCTGTTTACGATTGAAAAGAGAGGAAAAACGTAGAAAAAAAAAATATGTAACGTATTTTTCCTTAGAACCACGCATGCGAAAATTCGGGTTTACAGGTATATACCTATAGGTATATATATCTAGGTATAAGAAACAAAAGAGCGGTTTTCAAGGTTTGTGCATTTAATTTCATACGTTTTCCATATAAAAATCGATTTCAATGAATATAATTCTAAATAGTTATGCTGGATTACAAATGTTGATTCATCCTATTAAATGAAAATAAACGTTTTAAAATTGCCCCTGATTATGAAAGCCAAGGTCAAATACTTGGAAAAAATAATTGTGAGAAATTTTGGGAGCTATTTGATACGTTCTCGTAATTGATAAAGATACTTACTGCTGCCTACAGTCTATGAAAATTGCTATCACAAATAATAAGGTAATTGTTAGCACAGCCGAAATTACAAATATTATTACAGTCCCCAGTTCACTGGTCTCTTCCTTTAGTACTTCTGGAAAACTTGTTGATTGATTGGAAAAATCTAAAAGAACAAATATTAACGAATTTTTTGTTAGGCCTAAAAAATAATCATTAATAGCAACACGGTCATTGAATCTAAACATAAATGTTTTAGAGTTTATTTAATTTTAAGGGCTTAAAGTTATGTACTTGATTATCAAAGTCCGATGATGCGTAATAAATGCTTTTATTAACCAAAGTGTAATGATTTGTAATTTATTGTAGTTGCAAATATTTGTAGTTCTGTTAATTCTGATTTTAAACACGTTTAGCGTTACGATCGTGACATTAGCTATTATAATATAGGTATTTTGGTTTTAACTAATTTCAATATTATTCTACGTGCTTATACGAGTACCTATAGGTAATATAAAATATAAAAACTTTAAAAACATTAATATATTAATGTTTTTAAAGTTTTTATATTTGTTTTATCGTATTTACCACTAGTGGTACAATTTTACCGAAACAATTTTTTTTATACGAATGTTTTTTTCTTGGAAATTTCGCAAGTGGCATTAGGTTTTAAATTAATGCCACGAGCAAAATTTCCAAGGAAAAATCTTGAGTAAATATAAATCAAAAATTTTTTGAAGGAAAATTTTATCACGAGTGGTATTCGGCAAGACTTTTACACGAATATATTTTTTAAATTAGAATTAACTGCCGATTCAATTTCTGTATGATTTTTTGACCAAAACGCATATTTTACGACATTTCGTATAAACGAGTGGTTTTTTCACCTTAATAGTAGGTAGTTTTATCGCTGCAAAACTGAAAAACCCACTCGTTTTCTGAAATCTGATTGGTCCATAAAGTAATGAGTGGAATAGTCGCCAAATAGGTAAGGAACTTAATATACGAGATGTGTTCAGAAAATATCGGGAATTTTCGTTTTTTGAAACAAATATTTATTTATTCGTGTACATTAATGTTGTCGCCTTCAAAATAGTCCCCATTGGATATTATGCACATGTGCCAGCTCTTCTTCCAATACTCGAAACACTTCTAAAACTCGATCTTTGAGATAGCCTTTAGTTCTTTCAGCGATGCGCTTTTAATGTTCTATGCTTGCAAAACGACGGCCCTTCAAGGTTCTCTTGATTTTTGGGAATAGGAAAAAGTCAGACAGAGGCATGTCTGGCGAATATGGAGGCTGGGGCATCATTACAGTATTGTTTTTGGCCGAAAATTTTGTTCAAAATTTAACAATTTTGGAACAAATTTTGCTGTCACGCGTTTCATACCCAAAACATTTGAAAAAATTTCATGGGATGAGCCAATCGATATACCACCATCATCAGCGACTTCTCTGATGGTTTATAACCATTTCTTCCACTTTTTCCATGTTTTCATCGGTTGTTAATGTGCTTGTGCGTTCGGGGCGTTCGTCATCTTCAACGTCTTCACGGCCATCTTGGAAACTCTTATACCACTTGTAAACTCTTGTGTTACTTATAGCAGACTCACTATAGGCCTTTGTTAACATTTCACAAAATTTATTTCATTTTTTAAGCAAAATTGGATACAAATGGATCAAAGACCATTTCTTTAACGAACGAAAGTCGCCGAGCTCATAAAACACGTCTAACCTTAGCGGCTGCCACAGACAAAGTAAACAATGAAAACAGCTAAAGTTTTTATCATACTTCGGGGGCATGTATACCAACATAATAAATAAAATTTTATGACAACCGAAGACGCGAAATTTAACAATTCCCGTTATTTTCTGAACACACCTCGTATATTAAGTTCCTTACAAAGTTTAACCTTAACTTTTTGTTTGAAAACATGTTTAATATCAGTGGAAAGTTTCCAGAGTAGGACTTCTTAATTATATTATATTAGTCTTGGGTGGATGTTGGCATGATACATCGGTTTAGTGCGCTATTTTTGAGACATTCTGTATACTAATACAGCAGCAAATTTCTGTACATCCTTACTAATATAAAGCTTAAGTTGTTTTTTTAAGATAAATAAAAGTGGAAGTGAGGTACTTTCATATAAAAAATTAACCAACATGTTAATAAAAATTAACACATTCCAATGTAAATAAACACGCCCTTGTATTAAATGACACAACACACGTGACGCACGTAGACTATTATAAATATGAAGAAAAATCTTATTTGCTTTTACATGCAAAAATAGATCAAAATAAATTATAATTTCAAGTTTTTTTCTAATTTATTTAAGTTTTGACGCAAGTAGATGTTTTTAAAATAAACTTGTTAAAAAAACAAAGTTAATTTAAGAAAATTGTATTCGTGTCAATAGATGAACGTAAAGTATGTGGAAATATTTAGAATTTATTGTGCAGATATCTCACGTTTATTGTAAAGTTTATGTTTATAATGCTACGATGTTTTGTCGTGTTAACCTTGTACATATTTTACAATAAAATTATTCAATTTTCTTAGTGCACATAAACCAAACCGTGCCTAAAACAATTATTAAAAATCCAAAAATCGCTAATATGAATTCCGCGAAGACTAGAGACAGGAGTACACACCGAAATGGAGGCAAAATGGGGCAAAAAGCGGCGGCAAAGATGAAGTTTTTCAGTGTGCCAAATTTACCTCCAAATCTGTCATAATCATAAGTTAAAAAAATCGCACAATAATTTATTGTCAATAAATAAAGATTTTAAAAACTCAATAAATTGTGCTATTTATAGATATTAAAGCATGGAACATTTATTTGATTATGTAATTCCGTGGAATTATTCTGAAGAATTCAAGTAGAATTTAATTTAGTCTTGATATCTTTATTGTTGTAATCCTATTAAAAAATGCGTTTAGCTAATTATTTCTTGTTAATGTAAGTATTTATAAATTATAATTAGCAACTTCTACTGTTTACATTTAAATTTTATTAAAAATAAATAAATTATCTCTATTCAAAGAACAACAAAATGTATTTTTTCTACTTCCACCTTTAAAACGCCCTTTATCGTACATGTTTCCATCACACTAAGTGACCTTTTAAATACATATTAACAAGTTGTGGCTTTATGGCGCTTTAGTCACGGGCTGAAGTTAGTTTTAAGATAGTTGACAGTTGTCAAATGTCATACAATCGTTAAAATAAAGTACCTTTCTTGTAAAATAATACTTAATGTGAAAATTATTTTATTATCTCAATACAAAAATACAAAAGTATTAAATAGTTTCTCAACGCCAATATTTGAAAAGTTTATATGAACATTGTACTGACCTTTTAATTTCGCCGGCAGTAAATTATAACCATTGACTAACTCAACGCTATAACTTAAATTCGGGCACGGACCCCACTGTAAAGTGCTCAAAAAACATTTTCTTTACTTTCATTGTAAAAAACTGTCAATTTTCAAGAAATACATTTCGATTTATAACCTTTATAATCTGTGTTTATAAAATATAAAAATTTGACATTTGACGGTGACACACAGATTCCCCTATTGTTTCATAGATGGCGCTCTATAAAAATATTTGATTTAAATCATTGTAGAAAAAGTATAGTATATGCATATGCATATATGCACCTCGTTTATAAACTTTTCTATACACTCATTAATTTAAGAACTCGCTCGCAAGCTCGCTCGTGCCTAAATTAAATTCGTGTATAAAATGGCGTTTATCAAACTTGATAAATAATATACCATTATCAGTGTGTGCCACACACTGTGTGGTATTTTAATTTAATAATAATTATTGCCTGTAATGACATGAACAACAGTTGTTCATGTCATTAAAACAATTCTTTAAATTTAGGAATTAGGTTTTTTAAAAGAGTTGGCAAAAGCGAGAGTTAAATATAAAAAAATATAAATAAATCCATTACAGGTTGCCTCAGGTTATATTAAGAATTTTACCACCCTATTCCTACCTACATACAATACGGCATTATATATATATATTGGCTGTATGTATTGTATATAGGTATTGCCAATACCTATATAGGTACAATACATACAGCCAATATGTATACCTAGTTTGTCAAATAAAATATAGTCGAGTTTTGCTTCCTGTTTGAAAGAGACTCTTTATTATATGCTATAAAGGTAGCTTTAGTAGACTGGAGCATGAATCATTTTTTATAATCCCTATATACAGGGTGTCCGTTTTTAGAGACTAACCATAACCTTTCTTGGCAGTTTTGAAAAAAAAATGGCAGATTTGAATTTCCCTTGAAAAAGTACGTGATATAGTAACGTCTGAATTAGAAAGGGCTACCTTCAACCGTTTTTGAAATAAAAAATTAAAATAAAAAGTGATACCTAAGTCAAATTTCTTTTTAGATTATTGATCGGTTAAATTAGGAAAAAGGTTCACATTTTTATGCCGATCAATGATCTAAAAATAAACTTATCTCTAAAGATAAGCGATAGCTTTGGAAACTGTGTATTAAATTAAAAAAATATCAGGAGCAACAAAATTATTTAAAAATATTAGTGTAGTTATGTTTTTTGTATATTTCGAGGAAACCCTTAATGAGGGTAATCCGCTGTGTTTTAAATAAAATAATTCCTTCTTTTTTTAAAAATGATGTACTTTTAACAAACAAAAAATAAAAATAAAACTAATTTAGGTACTCAAAGAGAAAGCAGAACCCAAGCCACAATTTAAGTATTTGTTACGTATATGGGACTATTTAAGTAACTTAAAAGTGTTTTGCGACAGTCGCCGGTCTCTTTATATTACTCTTTCATTACTAAGTTACGACTGGGGAACAATTATTGAGTTCCAAAAAGGTAACAAATATGTTACTACCTATAAACGTAACGTAGCTGCTACGTTACTAGAACGTTTCAATATCGTTGCTAGAGCGTTATACTTACTTTTATTTATTTATTTTTACTTCTATATTAACTGTTTTTGTCAAACTTATATTAGATTATACTATCCCTCCTTTTTTAAATGGAACCACTACGGACTTGGCTTTTCAATGTAGTCGTTTATTAAATATGTACTGGTAGTTTACTTCCAGAATAACAATATAATGTTTAATTAGGCAGGTAAATTTAAATTAAATTTTACTGGTGAACTTATGAATTTAGTTTTTGTAAAATAAATGCGCTTCATCAATATTTAAGTATAAACAAATTATTTATTTAATAATGTTTATAAATAAAAAAATCTTAATATTTATTATTAATTTTTTATTTAATTATTAATACCGTCTATTACCAACAAAATTACTATTTATTAAAAAATTAACAACCATTTACAAACAATTAAAATAATTTATTATTTACATTACCACTTGGTACTGTACAATGAAAAATGGCCGATAAGAAGCATTTTCCTTTGAAGTAGTTTTCGCTACCTACTTTAAAGTTTTTTTTCCGCCTTAATATACTTTACGGTAGTTTTGGTTAGTACCATAAACGTTCCAAATACTAAAATAATAACTTTTAAGTTATTAACTTTGTACTTTTTAACTCATGTTTCAGTTTCGAGATTTTAACTTGCAAAGTAAAAATAATTATAATGTAATCTTTAGGTAGCCACCGAAAGTAACTGCTACAAATTAAATTTACTTGCACGTTTTTTACTTATAACACATTTTTTAAAGTTGCAAAGTCTTCTTGGGGGCAACCAAGTTTTACCTAAATGTTTATTACTTTATAGTAACCATTTTAGGAAAAAATAAAAGTTTCTGTTACAATATTGCTATTTAAAAGTTGGAATTACTTTTAAATAAAAATTAAAGTAGCTGTTTAGTATACCTAACTAATTTAAAGTTATCACCACTTTGGTAATGGTTTTGGAACCAAAAATGCTGCTTGGGAAGTTTGACAAATTTTTACGAATGAACTGGATTTTTTTATAAACTATCGGCTGGTGATGCTTAGGGTTGCAACAGACCTCTGCTTCTACTTCCGCAACTAAAGAGGTTCTGCACCTTTTTTCACATCCGCTTTCACGTTTTTATATAGGAAGCTTATCTAAACTTTCTAGAAATGACAAGATTAACAATAAGCACGCTTATTGGCCGGAGTAGATAGCTAAATTACTGTTTATTAATTATAACCTGCCGATATTGCATTTTGAAAAAAAAATACCGCTTCCGCAAAAATTTACTATTGACATTAGTGATGCAACGGTTTCGGGTTTTACGGTTACGGTTACGGTTACGGTTAGCTATACGGTTACGAATAAATTCACGGTTATTCAAAAAAAAATTACAGAATTACGAAAAATAAAGTTTTGAAATTAATACACACGTTCAGTAAAGGTTAAATAATAATTTATCTAAAACAAAAACAGAATTTCTAATAAAACTGTAAAACAATAGGAAATGAGTTACACTTTAAACCTAAAAATAGTAAAGTAAAACCTAAGTAGGTACCTGAATAAAATATTTAAAAATATAAAAAAATTAAATGTTAATATTCAAAATTTACGAGTCAAATTTTTATTTAAAAAACATAACATCTGCAAATTCTGCGAAATCAGCCTGTTCCTATTTGGTGTTTGCACAAGACCTGCAGTCGAAAACAACCTCTCCGAATTCACTGACAATGGTTTGTATAATACCTTAGTGCCAACACTCTTAAACGCCGAAACGTGTAACACGTTTTCCAGAATGTAAACGGATTTGACTTAGGTGGTATATTTGGTAACGTTAATTACTCTTCAATTTTTTTTTTTACATGCATTCACAAAGTAGCATGAAAAACCGTAAATACGGTTAACGACATACGGTTACGGTTAACCGTATAATATCGAAAACCGTGAATTAACCGTAACCGTAACCGTAACCGTTGCAACACTAATTGACATCTGTTTTCGCTTCTACTTTTGTTATGAGAACTTTCGTTGCATCATATTATAATAATAATAATGGTGATGATATAAAGTTAATATATATGTATATGGGTCAACCGTTTTTAAATATCTTGTTAAATAATTCTTTTAAATAGGTTTTAAGAAGTATGTTACGGCATATGTATTGTATTTATTTGTACTATTATAGTACCTACATATACTTAAGTATACTGCAGTTAACTGTTGGGAAAGTCCTTGTAAATATTAAAATAAATGGGTTTTACCAAATAAACTGGTTAAATTAAAATAAAATGTAGGTACCTGCTAATAATTATTAATGTTTTATCTTTATTGATAAGTAGATATTATAATGTTATATAGGTAGGTAATTAACTAGTTTTCTACTAAAATTATCAGTCAAAGTTACGTTTAATTTAACACTACCAAAGTAATTTTATGGAAAAGATTTTAAAGAGCAGGTAAAAGTACGGTCTTTAGTTTGCATTTATACATAAATACCAACGAGAGACCTAAATATACCTGTAGGTATGTTTATTAGAATTTTTTTCAAATGAGTGTTATAATATGTATTGTATTAGTCAGTCAGCTATTGATAAGCCAAAAATTTGCAAATGGTTTAAGTAGATGATACCTATATAAATTTAAATAAATTATTTTTACAAAATAAAAACAAATTTTCACTAATTTAAACACCTACCAAAATAAAAACAAATTTTCACTAATTTAAAAACCTACCATCCATCCAGGGTATTCCTTTGCTACTGTCAATATTTTGAATTTCCATCGTAAACCCAAATCAAAACCTAAACTAGATTTAAACACAGTACACCGCACTAGAAAGTTTTTCGATTTATGTCACATTGATTAACACATGGATGTTTGGACTTGAAGAACTACAGCTAACCAAAGTGGTACCAGCTTGGCGGAGTGAAGCACAGATTTTAAACGTTGGAGTGAAGTGTTTGTTGATGACAGAGAGGTAGTAGTAGATTGTTTGGTGCGGCAAGTTTTTAGATACACTGCTATAGGTGGGAGTTTTACTGATAAATACAGGACCGTACTAAAGAAATTTACTCGAGTAAAAATTAAAAAAATATTTATTTTTGATGAAATTTGGCAGATATAGGTGTCTTCAACGATCGTTTTTATATGTTTAGACGACCCCCTATTTTTCCTTAGAACCACAGGAGCGAATCTGCGAATTAACAGCTAGTTAATAATAAAAATAAAATATTATGTGATGGCTAAATAAAGTTATGACTGATTATAATAATAATTATTAATCAGTGATTATACTTAGATACATTTAAATCTTTGGTATTGAATTATTTAAACATTTTTTTTTAATGGAATACTATGGAATATATTTTTCAATTTTATCACGTTAATACAAATTAATTCACGTTTACAAGGTTTTAATTACCAAATTCTTGGATTTATTTATACATTTTTAAACGCACTTTTAAACTTATTTCTGCTGTTTTGAAATTTTATTATTTTTTAAGAAACCAACTTATGTAATGGTGTCGTTAGTTATGTGTACGTATTAGATGACAATGTACAAGGTGTACGAAGATAATATTTCATTTCTTTGAATTATCTCTTATCTTTAATGTTGATGATTATTACATTTTTAGTTTAGTTTATTCATTCTGTATCTTGCTTCTCGATTGTAAACCTCGTATAATTAATAAAGACTGTTTTTAAAAACCAATCTATCAAATTAATTTATTTAATTCGTTTAACCCTGCCTAAGCAATATAAGAAAAAATTCATAACTCGGTAATAAAAAGACATGCAACAAAATACTAGACATATTTTTGTGGGAGATTTTACGCTTAAAAAAATATATTTATGTTTTTTTTCGTAAAACCATCCATTTAAATGATTTTGGAGATCAAAATTTGAAATAAATAAAAAAAATAACTACCTATCTAAATTATTTGGTTATCTAAAAACACAAAATTTTGGAGGACCTTTCATTTTTATTTATTTCATTCATTTCAAACTTTGATCTCCATACATTTATGGTTTTACGAAAAAATGTAAAAGACAATTTTTGTAAAGCGTGAATTTTTTTACAGGCATGTCGTGTCTATTTATTTGGCGAGTTATGAATTTTTTGTATGTCATTTAGGCAGGGTTAAACGACATCGGATTTTTTTAAATTAGTTTTTAGACTAAACTAATAATTTAGAATCTAAATCTAAATTTTAAATGATCCCCAAGTAAAAAAAACATCGGGCTCCTCGTAAATTTTAAATTGTTATTTTTACTCAATACAGTCCTGTCTTACTGCACGACTTGCTTCTTTCTATGAATGGTTGCTTCCGCTTTTATTTTGTTCATTTCTTTCTTAGGAATAATTATCGAAAATCAGGATGGGATATTCACTCCGCGGTATAATCCAATGACGTAAAACTTTTTTTAAATAAGACCTATGTAAATTAATAATTAATTTTTATTTTATAACTAGGTTCTTAGTTATTCATAATAGGTATAATTTATCCAGTAATTCTGTAAATTATTATTTGTTATTGAAATATTTTTTTCTAAGATTGAAAATGTATCGAGGTTGTTTTATTTGGTGCATCATGGTCGGATTTAGGTATGGGGTGCAGCCCTGGGCCCCATTTGATTCATACATATTTTATAATTTTTAAATCCTATAGTTCACGACTTATTTTACAAATTAATATTGTTGGTTAGAAAAACAATCAATTTCAAGAAAATTAGAATTTTATTGCTAAAAATTCATTTGTATAACCAGTAATTAAAAAAAAAATAAATAAAATATATTTGTATATAAAAAAAGATCTAGAAAGAAGGTCCTATGACATTTTGTAATAAGTCCGTCCCAAGTAATGCTTTTATTGCGATCTCCAAGGTCGCTTTAAAACTACAATAAAACTGCGAATAAAATCAAATAATCTTCAAGCCTTAGGACCATCATATAGCAGCTTCCAGCCAAAAAGGGCCCATCCTAAAAAAGTCTTCAAGAGAAATTTTAAAACTACATTAAAACATTTAGTTTTAATTTTATATTTCTAAAAAGTTATTCAATGCAACTTTAAATTTATGTATTAAAACTTATTTGCATTTAAAATATACTTGCAGCTGGCTAAATTACCTGTTATTTTATTTACTAACTTTTGTGTGAAATATTTAATGGCAGTGTGGTAATATTTTAAACATAAATATTCAAATGCAAACTATTCTGGTAAAAAACGGGTGTCACTTTTCTGACAAAATAAAATAAAATACTTGTACATAACTCGAGCGCCATCAATTCTTTTATTATTTAAAAATTTTAAAAAATCTCATCAAATTTTATTTTGCATCTAAATATCTAAATGCTTTTCTTTATTAAAATTTATGTTTGGACACACCATTCTTCAGTTATTTAAGAGGATGTAAGGCGCATATTTTTTAATTATATGATTTTTTCTTTGGCCATTGAAAATGGCGCGATCTAGATTAAAACTGATTACAAGAACATTTTAAATCTTACAAGACTTAAAACATATTTTTATTTACCACTTTAAGTACAATTACTCTCGCAAATGTCTATTTATTCTTCATTCCCAGGTAGCACACTGATATTTGCTGACGTTTAAATGACGTCATTTCAACGTCATTTAAACGTCAGCAGAGTGCTACCTGGGTTATTGATTTAAACTTTAAATTTTAAAGTGATCTAGCGCACGAATGAAATCCTTACCTTACAAATTGTCCCGTTTTTTTTTAAATTACACTTTGATTTATTTTAAATGCTTGTCGCTAATATTTTCCATTTTAAATATGTGTTCTTATTTTCTTTTACGTATAAAGTAGATAGACAAACTGCACTGGTTCACTAAATTAGCTTTATCCAAATGTGGAGGGGTAGAATTAGTTTTAATAAATCGAACAGGAATTTCTTTGAACCAAATTGACTAAATTAAAACCTTAAATTCGAGCTTTAAAATATTGTTAATGTACTCTTTAAAACGTTAAACATATATGTGTTTGGATTTAAAGTGGAACTTTATTAAGCATAAGATAAAATAGTTTTCTTAATGCTTTTAAATGAGTTCATCAAGGGTAGGTACTCCATAAAACTACATTAAAACTATTTGTTCCAAAATGGATTGTTTTAAAACCAACTTGCTATTTAATCCTTTAAAAGCAAGTTAGTTCTAAAATAGCCAATGTCGAGAGTATTATAAAACCAGTATAAGATCAATAGAGCTTTAGGAGCCAAACGTTTTTTATTTAAAGAGTACATTAAATTCTTAGCATAAGAATAGGTTGCCTTTAAGAACTTTTAGTTTATCTTAAGGTAACTTTAAAACCAATATCGTTTTATTGAACATATTAAAACACTTTTAAACCCTAAATAAATCAATAATATCTTACTATAAATTTAAGTTTAAGCTTAAATTACTTTTGAACGAGTATATTTATTATTAAATAATAAGAAACCTTACTTGCATGGCGTTTATTTTCTATAAAAATATGTTTTGTTCATGCCCATTAATTAGTTTACGAGTTATATAAATTCCAAAATTAAAAAAATCCCTCTTAATAATACTAACAGTTTCCTGAGACTATTGAATTAAAAAAATAGTGTTTTTTACAAAATTTAAAGACTCTAAGTAAGTTGGGGCTGAAGTTAACAACAGTGGCTTTTGAACATTTTAGTCACGGGCTGAAGTTGGCTTTATTATAAATTGTGAAAAAGTGAGTTTAAATTTGTTAAATATTTATGAATTATAATGGGCTTTAAATTCCTATTTATGTTCGTCGTAGATAAAGTAAAGTATGCAACTCGTTTTATAAACTTCTCTAGACACCACAAGCAACAATTTAAGTATTTGTTACGTATATGGGACTATTGAAGAAACTTTAAAGTGTTTTGTGACAGTCGCCGGTCTCTTTATATTACTCTTTCATTACTAAGTTACGATTTAAGTGGGGAACAATTATTGAGTTCCAAAAAGGTAACAAATATGTCACTAGCTATAAACCCTGCTACTATTTGGAACGTAGCTGCTACGTTGCTACTTCTATGTTAACTGTCTTTGTCAAACTTACATAGGTATATTAGATTATACTATCCCTCCTTTTTTAAATGGAACCACTACGGACTTGGCTTTTTAATGTCATCGTTTATTAAATATGTACTGGTAATTTATAACTTCCAGAATAACAATATAATGTTTAATTAGGCAGGTAAATTTATAAATCCTTTAAATTTAACTGTTGAACTTATGAATTTAGTTTTTGTAAAATAAATGCGCTTCATCCATATTTAAGTAGGTATAACCAAATTATTTATTTAATAATGTTTATAAATAAAAAAATCTTAATATTTATTATTTAATTATTAATACCGCCAACAAAATTACTATTTATTAAAAAGTAAACAACCATTTACAAAGAATTCAAATAATTTATTAAAATAATTATATATTTATATATTTAAAAAATGGCCGATAAGAAGGATTTTCCTTTGAAGTAGTTTTCGCTATTTTAAAGTTTTTTTCCATCTTAATTTACTTTACGGTAGATTTGGTTAGTACCATAAACGTTCCAAATACTAAAATAATAACTTTTACGTTATTAACTTTGTAGTTTTTAACTCATGTTCCAGTTTCGAGATTTTAACTTGCAAATGAACTACAAAGTAAAAATAATTATAATGTAATCTTTAGGTAGCAAAAATTAAAGTAGCTGTTTAGTATACTTAACTAATTTAAAGTTATCACCACTTTGGCAATGGTTTTTGGAACCAAAAATGCTGCTTGGGACTCGTTTTTATTAAACACTCGCTCGCAAGCTTCGCTTGTACCTAATAAAACTCGTAACTAAAATTGTGTTTATAATACTTAATACATAATACCTACTATTAAGAATAAGTGTTATTTTGTTTTTGGTTTTTATTTTTTACAATGTTGTTTTGTTGTTATTTGTTAATAAAAGTAATGGCTAGCCATAAAAATTAATATAAAAGCTTTTATATTTATTTTTACATTTGTTTGTTATGTGGGTCATTCCCACCAAAAAAATAAATCCTTTTTTTATTATAACTATATGCAAGTGCATTAATTTAAAAATTGTTTAATATCTATAAATTTAAGAAATTTTTTTGACAAAACCCAAACTTGTATAGATAGGTATTACTATTTAAAATAAATAGTATTTTTGTACCTATAACTTTATTAATTCTCTTTGGAAACCTTAAAAACTAATTAACTATTAAAAAATAGCTAAACTAAATTTGATTACCTACATAATAAAATATATAGAAACCATAAAGTATAATGACAGGATTCTCCTTATGATGTTGGTATTTAAGAAATACATACATGAACATACTAATGTTTATGAAGAAATATTATCTATGTTAGGCAACCCACATTGCTTTTTAATTAAATGGCTCATGGATACTAGAATCCAGAGAATCCTTGTCTCTGCTAGAATCTATAGATAAAAGAAGTAGCAATGAAATAGCTCCAGAAGCGAAAAAGATTACCAATTTAAAAACTCGCTGATAACACTAGTAAACAATAAAAAAAGGTCGGTAATAAAAATAGCTCAGTCCTATAGATTTTGACCTGCTCGACGCAAATCCGGCGCCCAAAAAATTTTCTGAAGTCTCGTTTAGACGATAAGGGCAGGACCATGATACAAAGAAAAATTGTTAAATAATAACGATAAAAATTAGTAAATAAAAAAGATCGGTAATAAAAATAGCACACTCCTATAGATTTTGACCTGCTCGATGCAAATCCGGCGACCAAAAAATTTTCCAAAGTCTCGTTTAGACGATACGGGCAGCACCATGATACAAAGAAAAATTGTTAAATAATAACGATAAAAATTAGTAAATAAAAAAGGTCGGTAATAAAAATAGCACACTCCTATAGATTTTGACCTGCTCGACGCAAATCCGGCGACCAAAAAATTTTCCAAAGTCTTGTTTAGACGATACAGGTAGCACCATGATAGAAAGAAAAATTGTTAAATAATAACGATAAAAATTAGTAAACAAAATAATTTGAACGATAAAAAACATCAAAAAAACATGCCTTAAATTATTACAATATGTACAGATATGTTGTTCATGGAATAATGAAATATAAGTTAAAAGTATCGTCATCTTAAAATTTTCAAATGGTGTATCTATGCAATAAATGGTACCAAAATACTGTGCTCCTATTTTTTATTTACGACTTCAGAAAATTTTTTTAAAAACATTTTGGATATATTTCAGTTATAAACAATCGAAAAATTTTATTTTTAACCAGGACCTTTTTTTTAAGTTAAAATTTGTTGCCTAGTGTAATTTAAGTTAATTTTGCCCATTTCCAAACAATTTATTTATGAAGCTACAAATGTAAATTTCATTTCAAATTGTCGTATATTGGTTAAAAAATCGATTTTATGTTGTTTATATAAACATGGTTTTCGAACTTTGAATATCTATAATTTATTTGTTTAACTAAATAAAGTCCCATAGCTATATTACAATTATAATTGACAATGATTAAATGGTTAATGGTTAAATTAATACTTTTATTTTTTATTAACAACAATATCTTAAAAAACTATCAAAACAAAATCGTTTTTATCCTGACTTATTCTAAATTTAGATAGACTAAGGCACAGACGGAAATTTTTGTTTTGAACGCGAAGTGTGACAGTCGTGTAAAACATCCGGATAAGCAAAATTAAACGGATCCTAAAATAGCCACAGTTAACCCCTACAGAGAGCCGCTGAAGTCAGTCTAGTCACCTGGGTAGATGGCATTGAGCCGGCACGCTTCTTGCATGCTTTGTCTAATTTTTTTGAAAAAATAATTTTGTTTTTAAACGAAATGCCAACCATTGTGACAATAAACCCCAGTGGCGGTGGTGGGATAGGGTGCTGTTGCTGTAGATGTTGTACGTGTATTAATATTAATTTTATAAGAAGTCCACACGGAATTATTAAGTCGGCTGAAGTGGTAAGTGCAAAATATTTATTTAATTTTTAATTTTTTTTAATTAATATTAAAAATTAAAAATAACTTTTTATGTTGTTATAATATTTTGTAAATTTTGGAATAGTTATAATGAAATAGGTTTATTATTAAAATTATAAAATTTCATTTCATTAATAATAAAATTATATTACTTATTATTTGAATGTTTTACAATAGGTGCAAAATAATTATTTAATTTTTAAGAAATTTTAATTAACATTATAAATTAAAAATAACTCTTGTAAATTTTGTAATAGTTATAATAAAATAGGTTTATTATTAAAATTATAAAATTTAATTTAATTAATAATAAAATTATATAATTGTTTGAATGTTTTACAATAACTTTTTTTGTTAAGAGAAACAAACAAAAAAAACAACAATAAAATCCAATATATTAAAAAATATATATCTATATATTAAATTTAAAAATTTTATTTATAGAAAACCCTTAAAAAACATATTGGGTACAAATTGTGAATAAAGTGAATTTCTTGTAAAATAATATTAAATGTGAAAATTATTTTATTATTTCAATACAAAAATACAAAAGTATTAAATAGTTTCTCAACGCCAATATTTGAAAAGTTTATATGAACATTGTACTGACCTTTTAATTTCGCCGGCAGTAAACTATAGTTATATATAACTTAAACTCGGGCACGGACTCCACTGTAAAGTGCTCATAAAACATTTTCTTTGCTTTCACTGTGAAAAACTGTCAATTTTCAAGAAATACATTTCGATTTATAACCTTTATAAAATATAAAAATTTAACATTTGACGGTGACACACAGATTCCCCTATTGTTTTATAGATGGCGCTCTACACAAATTTTTGATTTGAATCATCAAGATAATAATAAGTATTTGTCGTAGAAAATTTATAGTACCTATGCACCTCGTTTATAAACTTTTCTATACACTCATTAATTTAAGCACTCGCTCGCAAGCTCGCTCGTGTCTAAATTAAATTCGTGTATAAAATGGCGTTTATCAAACTTGGTAAATAATATACTATTTATTATGAGTTGTTAAAAAAATTCACACTCGACAATTTAAGAATACCAGTAGGAATATTATTTTCTAAAAAAATTAAGGTTGCATCTATCTTAATTAACGCATCTCGGTATACCCCGTAATGTTGTGACGCGTGCCACATTGAGACGCCACATGGTTGCATAAATGCAGGGGGTCGACTGTAAAACTTCAAACGCGTTTGTTTTATTACTGACTAGCTGTTAATCTTTTATCTATGCTGTTACCCGCGACTTTGTTAGCGTGGAATTAGAACTTTACATTAGCTATGATCCTAGACGAAACCAGTTTTTGTCTAGGGCTATGATGAAGGGTCAGTCAACGGTTAAAGGTCAAGGATCAAAGGTCAAAACCCAAAAAGTTTCATAACACTAGCTCGATTAACCCTTCTTTTAGAATATTTATTTATATTATTTAATCGTTTTTTTTAATGAAAGGGCTCCTTTGGTTTGTAGGTGTTGGGTTTCTTCTGCCAAAGTTTGGCTTTAAATTATGGAATCAAATACTCTGGTCAAATCGGTCCATCTTTTCAATCTTTCATAACCACAGCGTCATGGTGCCTAATGACAAGCTTTTTGCTACTATTGTGCTACGTTTTTAATGAAAAATCCATTGGTCTGATACGGCAATCATTATTTGTAAGTATTAATACTTAGAATTATTTATGAAATTTGATTGAAATTATAATTTGGGTTACAGGAGACTGCTTTTAATTGCGTGGCCGCTTTTGGATACATCTCGTCCTGTTCATATTTAGGATACGCTGTTAATACATTTCTGGAGCCAATGTACTTGATAACTCCATACTATCAAGTATTTCCTGCCATGAGTGCGGCATACGTAAGTAAAATTTAATTGATATGATTTGGTTATTTTTAAAATACCTATTTTTATACCATTTAAGAAATTGATTATATTTAGTGATAACCTTATTATAAAAAAAAACTTATTAAAACATTTTTTTTTTAATTTGATTAATAAGTCTATGAGTCATTAACGCCCAGACCTAAATATTTGAAATTTTAACAGTGCCTTCCTATAATGACATAGATAACCGCTAAGTTAGTTTTGAAATAAATTTGAAAACATTCAGTATTAATCCCGGCGCATTCGCCATTTTTTAAGTATTTAACGGCTGAACGGATTTTGATGAAATTGGCGCATCAGTTAAAAATTAAAAAAATAGGAGGACAAATTAGCACAGGAGTTCAAAATTAAAAAATTGTGGGAAAAATCGCACAGTAGTATAAACCTAAAAAGTGGTGGGACAATTTCCAAAATTTCCGAAATTTTCAAATTTTTAAAAATTTAAATTTTTCAATATATTGAAAATTAAAAAGACAAAATAGCCCAAAGAAAAGTTAAAAAGTTTAAAAGCTAAAAGAAGCTCAGAAACTCAAAATCATAAAAAAGCGTAAAAGTTTAAAACTTAAAAACCTTGAAAAAATACTAAAGGCTTTCAAGGCTAAAAAGCTTGAAAAAAACTGAAAAGCTCAAAAACGCTTTTGGGTAATTGAAAACTGCCCAAATTCGAACCAAATGAGTTAATTGAAAACTGGACTTAAAATTAATGTTTTGGGTATACCGGTAATTAAAAACTTTCAAAATCGAAAAAAATTTGGAAAGCAAAAACCTGCCCTTACATTTAATTTAAAAATCGGTTGAATTTTAACACCCTAATAAAAAATATCTAATGATTATAATCATTATAGATATGTTTTCAATTAAACCGATATTTATCGATTAAATAAAAAAAGATCAATTAAATTGTGCAAAAGCTTTCTTTATGCAATTTTTTTAAAATTTATTTGGCTTGACTAGTGAGCGAAGTAGCATTCGAGGAATCTTCTCTTTTTCCCAATAATCACATACTATTTATGCTTTTTTCCTAATAATAAAATACTTTTTTGTTTCAGATGGTTGGTACAATTTTGGGAATAATATATGCCTATGATGCATATAAATCCTATAGGTATTTTAAGGGATACAGATAAATTAAGTTACTTACTTATTATATAAATTTAAGTATATTATAATAGTTCAAGATAAATTATTTTTATTAAATTTATTGTTAATTTTTTATATTTTTACGTTTGGCAATAAAAATTTAAGTTATTTTTTTATTAACAAGGACAATCAGATTGTTTAATATTTAAATTTTTTAATCTTATGATTAAATCGAAACCTCGAAAATACCACAAAATGTGTTTTGTATAAATGCAATAAAAATGTAAAAAAATGTGTACCTATTCAAAATAAAAACTTTTATTTATTAATAAATATTTTTTATTTTAATGTAACAAAAATACATCGAATAGCAGTTTAGTAAATTACAAAAATTGTATAAAACATTGGAGATTTTACTTATCTATTGATAATAAAATTATTTAAAAGTAAAAAATCTAACATCGTTTTTAACAGACAAAAATTGTGTATGTATATGCCGCATATAATATGCGTATATTATTATATTCAAGTCACAAAAAGGCACAAAATACAAATGGCAGCTTACAACTATTTTCTATTAATAGTACTAAATCTAAACACAATGAAAATATTCCTGAAGATTTAAAATAAAGTACAAAATGACCTTTAGCATGTGAAACCAGGTAATTAAAGCTTACAATACAATGTTGGTATTTAAAAATTTATAATCAACTGATGTACGCCTTCTTTATTTTTAAAATAACATTATTATATAAAATACATTTATTTGTATAAGCGTAGTGTAACCTAATTTTTATACATAAAACACTTAAATAATTTGTTTTTAAAATTACAATCCTTTGTAGCGTAGTGTAACCTAATTTTTATACATTAAACACTTAAATAATTTGTTTTTAAAATTACAATCCTTTGTAGCTTCTCATTGCAAAAATTGTGCTCAACAAATATAGAGCTGAAATGACTAAACCAATGATCTGAAAAAATATAAATGGTTTAAATTAGATACGAATATTGTTAAAAAAATATTAAAGCACTTACAGACGCAACCAAATAAGGTTCATAATCCCTACGACTATAGCTTGATTTATTGTGGTTAACTTCTATTAAAAGAGCGAGACTTGCTGCTAAATACAAAACAAATGCAAATCCATGGTAAACCACTTCCTGAAAATTTGTCAAATTACAAATTAGTTCCTACGTCACATTAAAATTTTATTTTTTTACTTACGTGTATGGTTTTTGAAATTATTGATGCGGTTGAGATTGAAATTAGGCACGATAGCAAAAGAAGAAATGATCCCACCAAAAATGTAACTGCCATCAGTAAGAAAAACAGTTCTGGGGTTTGGGTATAGCCTAAGTATCTGTTGACATAATAACTAACTAATCCAACTGCAACTATGCCCAAGATCTAAAAATAATTAACATTATTATAAATTTATTAATATTTTTACGATAAATATTGTAAGCGTTTTTTTTATAAACTGTAGAATACGTTTCTAGATTTTGGGCCACCGTAGACCTCTAGTGGTTAATTTTGAGTGAAGTAAAAAATTTCACAAAGTATTTTTAAATTTATTTATCAAATCTTACCTTATATGTACAGTGTGACCCATTAAAATCTTTATTTATTGTGCGATTTTAACCGGATTTGTTTTAAACTGTAGATCTAGATAAACTGTATTTTTTGGGCAAATATTAATCTACGCACGGCACTGGATTCACAACCCTTCAACTATATTATTACTGTTAGTTTAATTTTATTTAAATGTTTTTTTCATGGATAACTTGATAGAATAAATTTTTGTAAATAGAAATTATTGTGCATTTTTAATTTTGCTACAAAATCATTCCTACACCGAAAAAAATAATTTAGTTAACTTTGCCTAAATGTCATTTTTGGAAATGTTGTTTCATCAAAAAACCTATTGGATTAATCCATATTTTGGTGTCAAAGCAATAGTCAGAGTTTGTCAAAGTTTATTTGTTCATTTGACAGTTAAAATATTGATTTAACATAGACTAATTTTTTGAATTAAAATGTTTATCCTATTTTGATTTAATAGCTGGAATTGGTTAAATCAAATACTGAAATTTTTAGGATTACCTAAAAAAACTATTAAATTAACGTTTAGTTGCTCTTTAAATCCAAAACATTAAATTTGTTCATTTAACAAATTGTAAATGTTACTTTAAAATTTGTTAATTTTGCATTCCCACGCCACGTCATTAGACGGTGTTGATCACGTGATGTTCTTACATCTCGCCTCAGTTTGCTTACGATAGGAGTATATAAGCTCAGGTAGCCGTTTGTTTTGGGTGTGTTCCACAGTGGAACTTTCACTACACCATCGCCGACGGTGGACTAGTGGTTAGTGCTGCTGACTACAAGCCGGAGGTCGTGGGTTCGAATCCCATGGCTTGTATGGCTGTTTATTTGTGTTTGTCCTATTGTGTAATAGTCCTTCGGAGGGGACTTTAAGCCTGCGGTCCGTTCCTACCCCTAACCCGCTCAAGCCATTCAGATGGCTTCTGGGACTTCTTAGGAAGTAAGGGTGGAACTAAAAGAGCACTTCTGTATATAAACTTCTGTATATAAACCAAATTGCCCGACACTGATAAGACCCTCAATATAGGTCAAATCAGCTGTCTGTCCGACAGACTCTGTCGGTAGGTATATGAAGGTATTTGAAGTCTTCAAATACTTTCAAGTGCGTTCCACCTACTTCAAATTGAAGTAGGTGGAACTCAAAACAAAAACTCTGGCGAGGGAAGGTTCAATTCTTTCTCTTTATATTAATTCCATAATTTTTTTGAATACCAACATTTAAAGAATGTTACTTTTACATTTTCATGTTCAATGTTAACCCAACCCAATTAACCCAACATTAGCGCAAACTATTTTAATTCAACATTTTACTGGTGTTAAGTGAATATGCTAAAAAGGTTACCTGGACATTTCAAGAATGTTTAATTAACCAGATTAGCAGATTAGAACAAATATTCTCATTTTCTTCATTTGACTAATATCTGTTGTTCAATTAAACAATACAATTTGACATTTTTAGATGGTTAAGTAAACGTGCAAAAACCATTGCTTGTATTTAAAGTGCATAGTTAAAGTAATATATTTTTTGTTGTTTCAACAGCTTATTTTTTTCAGTGTACTTAAAATTACAAATAAAAATTTAGTTTAGGGTTGTTTTAAGGACTAGTAAATCCTGTGCCGTGCATTGTTTTTTTTTAAATCGCTATTATGAATTCTTAAAAATGTACTCTCAAAAACTGACATAGTAGGACTTGTATTTTGTAAAAATATGGTGTTTTTTGCTTAAAAAATACAGTTTAACAATATGTACATTTTAAAACAAATAGGTCATACAGTATATATTATATATGTATAATTGTGCAAAATTTCAAATGTGTATTTAACCAATTAACATAAGTATATTATTATTACAAAAACAAATTAATGCATGCCTTTTAATTTGTTTTTAAAATCGTGTTTATTTTCCTTTAAATTTATTACAGGTGCCAACGATTAAATCAGTGAAAACCTTCAATAAGACATCAGAAAATATCTTTTGCATTGAGTCACTGTATGACCTAGTCCTTATTTTAATAAATAATTCACTGTAAAAGGCACTGGTTTTCATTATCAGTCAGTCAGTGAGTCGTTCAATAAAATTAAAACTTAAAATTATATTCAAAAGTATGATGTTTTTTAGTGGGAATATAAATAATATTATTAGTATTGGATCAACGTTGTTAAATATATAGATTTATTGTAACTATAAAATGAAATTTTCACATTCTAAATGATTAATTTAAAAAAAATATATTTGGGATTATATTTTATTTAAAATTTATTATGCAATATAATTGAAATAAAAATGTATACAAAAAAATATATCTTGAAGTTTGAGGTTTTGCTGAATTATATAAAAAAAAACGTTGAACAGTATATTTAACCCAATTTCGCTGTATTTTTAAAATATAACATTGCTAGGCGGGTTATTTTAAGATTTTTAGCAGTTTCAAAATAAAAATTAGCTTACCACTTGAAGTACTTTAAGAATTCCCGGCCATGATTTCAGATAGCCTGTGTTAAGGATTATGGCTGAGGTAGTTGTTGTCGTGGTGGTCCTTGTTACTGTTACTGAGTGGGACATATTGGCTTCGATGAATTAACCCTAAAACAAAAAAATACATATATTAAATTGGTTATTAATGATATATAAAAATCACAGAAAATATCTTAAAGTGTTTAAAAATCAACAAGAGGGAAATGTGGTTTTATTAAAAAAGCTCATAAACAAATTGGTTTAAAAAACTTTTAATAAAGGAAGGAAAAATGTATTAAAAACTTGAATGAACATTTTAATTAATACATGTGTGTTTATATATTATGCATTAATAGTATATTATGTATCAAGTTTGATAAACGCCATTTTATACACGAATTTAATTTAGGCACGAGCGAGCTTGCGAGCGAGTTCATAAATTAATGAGTGTATAGAAAAGTTTATAAACTTTTCAAATATTGGCGTTGAGAAACTATTTAATACTTTTGTATTTTTGTATTGAGATAATAAAATAATTTTCACATTTAGTATTATTTTACAGGAAAGGCACTTTATTTTAACGATTGTATGACATTTGACAACTGTCAACTATCTTAAAACTAACTTCAGCCCGTGACTAAAGCGCCTTAAAGCGACAACTTGTCAATGTGTATTTAAAAGGTCACTTAGTGTTATGGAAACATGTACGATAATGGTCGTTTTAAAGGTGGGAGTAGAAAAAATAATATAATACATTTTGAAATTTCCAAAAATGATTATAATTTTGCTCAATTAGCTTTTGTTTTTTCGTTTTCGATTTTATCGACAAGCAAACAATAAAATTCTTAAATCAAATACTTTCACCGATGATCATTGGTAATGTAACTATGGTTCCAAATTAAAATAAAATATATACAGTGTGATGCACTTGTAAAATTTTTATTTATTTTGCGAATTTGCTTTAAAGTGTAGATCATGAAAAACTGTATTTTTAAAGGAAAAAATGCCATATTTTTACAAAATACAAGGTCTACTATGTCAGTTTTTGAAAGTAAATTTTTAAGCATTGATATTGGCGATTTAAAACTAATCTATGCACGGCATTGAATTCACCACCTCTTAAAACGACCCTTTATTAAATTTGATTAAAATTTTAAGTAGAAACGTTTTGTAGCTAAATTAAAAAGGCACAATAATTACTATATACAAAAATTAATTAATTCAAAAAGTTCTCTACAATTAGATTTTCGTTTCCTTTATTATTACTATAAGCCAATAAATGTTAGTCAATTTATAAGGGTTACTCTGTCAACTCCTATTTTTTTGTAAATTAATTATCTCTAATTTTATCCAATATTCTTTTACTTTGCATTTATGTATATTAATTACATTTTTATTAGAAGCGAATTTAAATACATATATGTATGTATATAAAGAATAATGTTCGGAAATTTTAAACAATTGAAACACAAGAAGCACTCTCAACAATATTAACAATCAAGTATTTAGTTAAAAACTAGATCAAGTTAATTTAAAAACTTACGTAAAAATTGTTAAAGAATACACAACATAACAATGAAATGAGAAGCTAAAATGGGCATGGTTTTGTTATGACTCAGACTTAAAAACAGATCAATAAATGCGAAAATCCACTGATAAGAAAACCCAATCCTAATAAAAATCTATAAGATAAAATACCGCATTAGTAAGTCATGGAAATATAAACAAATAGTGTTTAAAGAAATAAAATATATTTTATTATCATGTAGTTACTTGCCAATTGTATTTTTAGAAATAAGGAATAATAAAAATATTAAAAATAAAAACTATTGAAACCTTACTATAAAAAATTATTTATAAACATGTCTATTTTCTTATTTGTTTTTAAACCTTGAGACGGGAATTATTTAAACAATTATTTAATATATCCTCGTTTAAAAACCACACCTGAAAATGGGTAACATCACTTTTATATACCTTAATTTAAGAAAATATCATATATTTTTATGATCATGGCAAACAATGCGGTCATTTCAAATTATAATAATGTGAGTCATCATGATATTTTAATTGGTTCACCATGATAATAGTATTTTATGTATAATGTTTTATTTGATAAACGCCATTTTTGTTATAAATTTTAATTAGGATCTAGCAAATTTACGAGCGAGTGTTTAATTAAATTAGTGTCTAGAAAACTTTATAAGGAAATTGAGTTCCATATTTTTTCTACGACAAATACTTATGATTTAAATAAAATATTTGCATTGAAAAACTTTGTAAAACTTTATATTTTTTTATTTGGATAATAAAATGATTTCCAGACAATTTTAACGATTGTATGACATTTGACAACAGTTACTGTCAACTAATTTAAAACTAACTTTAGCCCGTGACTAAAAACCTGTTGCACTTAGTATCATGAAAGCATGTACGATAATGGGCGTTTTAAAGGTGGGAGTAGAAGAAGTATATAGGAATCATAATATAAAAAAAAATTGTGGGTTTTCAATGAAAGTGTAAGTTAATTAAATTATTTAATAATATTACCAACATGATTAATTACGGTAATTAGCTTTCAAAATTATTTGGCTTTGTTCCAAATTACGTTTTGTTTATTTTTGTATACATATATGTACGAGTATGTACATATTTCATTCAGAAAATGATTTATATTAATTATTAAGTATATAAAAGCACGCACTAAATTTGACTTAATTTTTAGACATATGGCAACGCTGAGATAAGACATAAATAATGTTTCCCCTGTCGGTGATAATAAATAAAAAAATGGAGAAAAGTTTTTATTAAAAGAGTGGTGGTAAAAATTAAGCTTTTGTATTTAAAAATAAGTATTACATACAAGTGGTAATACAAAGTGCAATCACGTTTTAAAATGCCTACAGTTATGTCATCCAACTCCAAAAACTACAGGCAACCTTTATAAAAGTAGCAAGATTTGTTTTTATGCAAAGAGTATAAATAGTTACAAAACTCGCATATAGGCAAGCGCTTTAAAATATTTTCTTTACACTTAGATACAAGTATTTATAAATAATAAAATGCAAGTAAACTTAAAGCATGTAATAATTAACCAGCGATAAAAGGTAATTCACTGTAAAACCTTGTATAATAAGTAAATAATGATTAACATGGTATGGTAAAGTAAAAAATAGCGTTATTAAAATCGTTTTAAAAATAGCTCCCTATCCCGATCAAAAATACGTGTATGAGGTAAACATCTAATGTATGTGCAATCACTTGGTTAAAAATAGCAGTGACAGCAGTGAAGCACTTACCAAAAATAGATGAAAAAGGGAAAACAATCGTTTGGAGGACGCGTCGCGATGTAAGGAAAGCATAAACAAAACTGGCGTACGTTATTGACTTACCTGGTTTGTTTACAAGCAGGTGGGCGGTAACTTTGTGTAAAAAACAACGTCGGACGACTCCTCCACTAGGTTCTGGACGATGACTGAGAAAGCGGAGTGGAAATGCGCGCCTCGCTGGCCGAGCTCCTCTGCGTGGCCCATTTTCGTTGCTCGTGTTGCTTGATGTTGTGGTCATCGCCTACGTCGATGCGGGGTTCGGCATTTACACATTATCGTTAATCAAACGGTTTTTTCTTTCCAAGGGCAATCGCCCTTAGCTTACAGTATGCTTTTAATTTGACCCACCCCTGATTACTCGTTGGGTGTCGTTGCAAAAAGAAAATCAATTTTTTTTATCATTTATTATCAAAAATATTTACAGAAATGGTTATTTTTTCTTTTAATTTAATGTTGCTAGATTTAGATAAATAAAAAGTCCTCGAAACATGTTTTGTGTGATTACCTTAGAAATAAATAGAGATGTGATTTTAGTGCTATTACACAGTAAAAAAAAATCAACTCTAAGCAACACTAATTAGAGTTCACACAGGTCCACACTAAATAGTGTTGTTTTATAACACTACAACTAGAGTTAATTTGTAGTGTAATTTTCCCCAAGTAAGCAAGTATGATTTAACACTGTAGCACTGAGGATAAAGTAATTTTACACTGTATTAAAGTGTTAATTTACCTAAAATCGTGTACTTCTACACTTCCTGGGTAAAATACCATTTTTGTTCAGTGTAAATTAACACTACTTTGGAAAATTTCTAATTTTAGAAAGGTACTTTTACTCTTTTAGTGCAAACTTCTAGTGTAAATTAACACTATTATTTGAGTAAAACCTATTGGTGGTAGTGAATAAAACGAAAAGGTAAATAAAGAGAAATATTTATTTGGAACAAAAATCTATGAAATTTATCAAAATCGGTGCCTTTTAAAATATAATTTTATATTTGAGTCGTATGGTTGGCTTAAGCAAAATGGTTCCTTAAAATGTAAAAGTTTTAGATCAATGCAATGTTTTACTGGCTGTCAACTTGTAAGCAATGAATTATCTTGAGAATTCATCAGTAATCCATTTTTCTGTTATAAAAAATGGGTGATCCCATTGGTAGAGAGGCGTCAGGCGGCTGTATGTCGGGGATTTACCACCCGTGTACAAATTTTCCATAATATTAATAAAAATGTAGGTTAATATAACAACCATTACGCTTGAAAATAAAAGGTAAATGAAGTGTGTATGTATTTATATTATTAATGTTACAAGTACCCGACCTACTGCCGTAAATTATTGATATATATTATAGGTCGGGTATGGACATCTTTTTAACATATTGGTATATATTGAGTACTTACCAAAAAAATAGAATGTCCCCTTATGGATTCACTGTAATTAAAATCTAACTGAACAAAAGTGACATACTTCCGATTCCGATTCCGATTCGATTATTAATAGGTTTTTCAGTCTACTTTGCCACTATTGGTGTAATTTAACTTTAATTGTGATACAATGTGCACTAGTAGTGCAAAGAAAAAAGAGCTCTTAGTAACATCAAAACAGACAAAGAAATTGGCATGCACTGTAGTGTACATTTTGTCACTATTTAACACATTAAGGGGTAATAAACACTCGTATTAAGTTTTCCTACCCTTTTGATTTATTTTAATAATAAATAGTGTGAATGTACCAATGAATAATGTTCATATTCTTTAAATGTGTTTAATAAGCACTAAATGCTACAGGTCTAGTGTATTTTGTAGTGTAACTTTTACACTTACAAATCAACTCTAATATTTTTACCCCTACATTAAAAAATTTACACGGGCAAAATGTTTTACTGTGTGCCTATGCTAATCATAACTTTAGGTGCAATGGAATAAAATCCGTTTTGAAGAAAATAATTTCATTTGAGCCTGTTTTTATTTAACCTATTTTACAAAAATTTTATTTTCCAGAGAAAAGGACCTAATTTTTACATTTTACTACCTAAACTAGTGTAATTTTACCTATTTTACCTAAATTCTAATTTTTAACAGAAATGAACCAAATTTTCAAATTTTACCATCAAAAAGATTTTTGTAATATTGCGGTTGACGTATTCGGATGACATAAGTTATTTTGGTTGTACAGGATTGGTAATGTGCGACCGCATTAAAAAATTATAATAGTTATTTACGTGTCAAGCTTTGTAAATGAATCTTTACGGGCGAGCTGAAAAATTGTGGGGTGAGCGAACCCCATAATCCAGTGAGCCTAGTAAAGATTAATTGCAAAGCGTGACACGTACAAACTTTTATTTTCACCTTTAGATAACGATTTTTAATTTTAAAATTTTAATTAATATGTCAAATGTGACATTTAATTTCATAAATTGCTTTTCTACAAGTCTGTAAAACTTTACAGGTCTTTTATACCAGCCCGTAAAATATTACAGGTCTGTTCCCATAATGTATCGTTTACTTGGATACAAAAACAACAAAATTAACCTATAAAATGTCATTTACTAAGAAGGTGGAAATAAAATTTATGATGTTATTATAATATTTTTACAAGATAATATTCGTCAGTTATTTTCAAATTTTTCAAATCAAAAAAATCAATACAATGATAAATTACATTATTTTACCACCTAAAAGCACTTTCGTAAAGTACTTACCTAATTTAATAATTTACCTACCTGTTTAGGTATCTATTTTTATAAATTTTGCAACCTAAAATCCCATATCTAGTATGTAATAAAACATGAAAAAAACAAATGTATAAAATCAAACGGTGTTGATGTAAATTGTACTGCTAGTGATAGTTATTTATTTAGATAAATATTTGGCGACTTTTTAATAGAAAAGTTACATCAAATAAGACATTTTTGTAAATTCGGTAAAAAATATAATTTCAAAAATGGCGAATGCACCGGGGTTAATTTTTTTAATTAACGACAATTAATGATTAATGGTCCTAATGAGTATAAAAATCAGAGTTAACATGAGTTTGTTGTTGGTTAATTTTATTTTGTAAAATTTTAACATATTTTTTTGTAGAGAACCAGGGTTTGTAATTATTTTAACAAGGGAAAATTTTGTAAGCATTTTGTTAATTTCATAAGTTACAGATTATTTTGTTTAACAAATTATTTCGTTGAAAAAGTACACGTGATTTCAGGCAGTCAATCAAAACATTTCCCCCTGACAATAGGCATCAACAAGTTCAACTGACTTCAGCGTCTGCAACTTATGTTTCTGCTTACTTTATTATAATTCGTAACGTGTTTGTAACAACTGTCCAGAGTGTTTACAATATATTACCAGGATTTCTTATACCTATTTAACGAATGTCCAAAGTATCCGAAAACAAATGACATGACTGGTTTTCAAACTAAAATTAGGGAATACAGTGAAGGGTTAAAGTTACGAAATACATCAGTAAGTGTTGTAATGGTACTGATAATTATATTGTATCAAATTTCTTTATAATTTGATGATTTCCGAATGGTGTGTTATTTAATTGTGTGTATATTATTTTTGTGTTCATTTATGTAGGTACCTACGTGTTAATTTTTTTGTTTAGGAAATTGATTAATAAAGCAACATTTCTTGTCAAAATTCTTTTAATTTAAAACAATTTCTAACAAATACTTTTGTTAATGGGTCTACAAAAAGGTTTGTAAAAATAAGGTCCTTTAATATAGGATTTTGTTATTAAATCTTCAAAATGTTTGTTATAATTACAGACTACGCATTCAATTAGTTAACAGATTGGTTGTAAAATTAACAGATATGTGGACCTGGATTAACATATAATATGGTTAATATTTGTTAAATAACAAATATTTTTTTACTGTTTGGTATATCTTTCGATGCCTAGTTTAGGTGAAAATTATGAAACATATCCTAAATTCAAAGTGACTGATTTTGTTTACCTGCAAGACTTAGTATTAGGATCAGAGACGTAGCGAGAGGGGGTGTAGGGGGTGTCACCCCCCGCAGTTTTCTGTCCGCATAAGCTATAAAATATTTAGCTTTATTAAAAAAAATAGTTAAAGTTACAAATGTGAATTCAGATTCTTATTTTTTTGATAATTCAGTCGGCATTTTTGAAAGTTTTATTAGCCGACTAATGCCAAATGCAGCTGCAGCTAATGCCGAGTCGGCATTGCTAAAAGATTTAAAATATAGCAAAGAAAAAAGTCGGCCATAATCGAAACCTTCGCTACGTCCCTAAATAGGATAAACAACAAGATAATTTTTGTTTCAAAATTAATTTATTATTATTAATTTTATCAGAAAAAACCCTAAATCGTTTATTATATACAAAGAAAAAAGTATATTTAATCTGGGGTCTATGTTTAATTGTATTCATGCTTTACTCATTAAGAAGTCGTTTACCTGCTTAAAATACCCCATAGAGACCCATACAAATAATCTTTCGGGCGCTAACGGACTCAATATGTGCTTTTGTCCAAGGTTTTTTTTCGGATACGGCCCGATACAAAATGTATAGGAAATTACCAAGGACCGGATTTTAGGCAAAATGCCTTTTTGTTTCTAGTTTAGGCATTTGTTTGGGACCTTGAAATTAATCCTAAACTTAAAAAAATAAAGCGTTTGACACCCCTTTGTTTCTGCCTAAAAGCCTAAAATGGCGAAATTTTGATTTATTGTCCTAAAAGGACATTTTTAATTTTTCAGTAAAAATATATTTTTCATTGCGGAAAAGTAAATTATTTTTAATTAGACCCTTATTTCGCATAGACTCCCTTGGCTTGAAATTTTTATAGCAATTATAATATAATTTAAACAATTTTTCTAAATTATTTTGAACAAAATTCCTCTTCCAGTTTTAACGGAAGCGATATCAACTTTGTTATTTTAAATGGATCATCACAATTTTTTTTACATTCTTTATAAAATGGCTATACCATGTCCTATACCTAAACTTAATAGTTTTTGAGTTATTAATTTTTTTGTTAAATTCGGTCAGTTTCACCCTCAACAAAAAGAGCTTATAACTTTTTTAATATAAGGTTTGCTGATATTCAGTTGGATATATTGGAATCCTAAAGAATTGTTTTAAAGATTCCCTGTAATTTATTTTAGGTAGCCAACTTAAAACAGCAATAACTTTTTTATTTGCAATGGAACGCCCTGTATATTTTTATGTAATTAAATAAGAAATTATAATACCTTTTCATTGGTATAGCTATTCCCTATCTACCTAATCGTGTTGTTTTTATTTTATGTCTCGTATTTTAGGCAGTTGAGGCCTATTTTAGACACTTTCGGCCTAAAACGGCCTAAAATGTAAGTTTTTATTGCCTATTTATGTGTCCTAATTTCCAATTTTTAAGGGCCTAAAATCCGGTCTTTGGAAATTACCTATAGGCACACCATAACTTTTACAAGGATATTTAGGGATATCCCTATAGAGCAACCATAAAACATTTGACAAAATTTTGTTAAAACCTATAGGTTATATATGGGGTCCTATGGGAGAAAAACTAATTTCTACCTTTATGTGTATTTTCCCCATTGGTACCGATAGCAAATAAATCAAGAAAGGATATCCTTCCTTGATTTATTTGCTACCCTGCTTAAAATAAAACTACGGCCCGATAGAAAATTTATAGGAAATTACCTATAGGCACACCATAACTTTTACATTTTCCCTATTGAGACCCATAGCAAATATCTCAATGTAGGATATCTAGGGATATCCCTATAGAGCAACCTATGGGGTCCTATGGGGGAACTAATTTCTACATTTATGTGTATTTTCCCCATTGAAACCAATACACCTTTTCCAGTTGATATTCAGAAAGTAGGAATTGTAATTCAATTATTCCAGTTGATATTCAGATAGTAGGAATTGTAATTCAGCTAATCCAATTGATTTTAAGAGAGTAGCATATGTAATTCAGATAACACAATTGATTTTAAGAAAGTAGCAATTGTAATTCAGATAACACAATTGATTTTCAGAAACTTGCAAATGTAATTCAGAAAGTAGCAATTGTTTTTCAGATTAAATCAAATGTAATTTAGCCGCAGCAATTGTTTCAGGAACAGTGGGTTGCATACAGTAAATCCATGATGAATGAAAGTACATGTTATCTTTATTAACTACTCTCTAAAAATGAATTAAATTTAAATTAAATTTTGGGATACCATGGTATTCCAACAAGTGAAAAAGCAGCCACTATTAACTATTAAATTAGTTACTTTTGACTAATTCATTTTTAGAGAGTAAGTAAATGAAATTTATATAAAGTACAAATGAACAAAATTCGGTCCTTACTTGCAATAAGTTGACAATTATGACAAATATACCTACTTAAATGGTGATAAATTTGTTTATTATTGTCAATTCCATGGAAACAAAGAAATACATTAAATTGAGATTTTAGAAAATAAGTAAAATGAAGTATGAAAATGTTATCATTTGTTAATTTCTGAATTTCAATTGACATATTCTGAATTACAATTGTTACTGTCTAAATACTATTTGTAATTTCTGAATATCAATTGCTACTGTCTGAATATCATTTGCAATATCTGAATTACATCGGCTACTTTCTGAATATCATTTGAAATATCTGAATTACATTTGCTATTTTTTGAATTTCATTTGCAATATCTGAAAATCAATTGCTGCTTTCTGAATATCAATTGCTACTTTCTGAATATCAACTGGAAAAGGTGTAGTAAATAAATCAAGGGGATATCCCTATAGAACAACCATAAATCCCATCTATGGGTCCTATACATACAGATACACCCTATAGAAACACCATACAATCCGATACAAACTATCGGTTTGTCTTTATGTGACATTTTAACTAGGGTTATACGTTTCAAAATGTCGACGAAATCTGCAACAACTAACTGGCTTTTTGGACAAACAATTGTGAGTTTTTTTACAGCACGACTTCCTTATGGATTTGATTGTCTTCGAGTAGTTTAATTTTAGCTCTCAACAAGCACCAAAATAAAGAACGTTGAAAACAAAGTTTTCCTTCAAAAGCAAAGAAAATATTTTTCAGGTAACATGAGTAGGAATGACCTTTGACAGTTGGGCATCCGTTATCAACGCCAAAGCCTGTTCCGTTGGCATATACATTTTCTTTGCAACATTTTCGGGGGATTCCGCAGCTGCAGATAAAAAGTCTGATTCAATGGATTCTTGCTCAACGCTTAGCACAATCCGAAAAATGCTTCTTTGGTCTACACCTTTTCCAGTTGATATTCAGAAAGTAGCAATTGATATTCAGAAAGCAGCAATTGATTTTCAGATATTGCAAATGAAATTCAGAAAATAGCAAATGTAATTCAGATATTTCAAATGATATTCAGAAAGTAGCTGATGTAATTCAGATATTGCAAATGATATTCAGACAGTAGCAATTGATATTCAGAAATTACAAATAGTATTCAGACATTAACAATTGTAGTTCAGAATATGTTAATTAAAATTCAGAAATTAACAAAAGATAACATTTTCATACTTCATTTTAATTATTTTCTAAAATCTCAATTTAATGTATTTCTTTGTATATTGCTTTGTTTCCATGGAATTGACAATAATAAACAAATTTATCACCATTTAAGTAGGTATATTTGTCATAATTGTTAACTTATTGCAAGTAAGGACCGAATTTTGTTCATTTGTACTTTATATAAATTTAATTTACTTAGTTAATAAAGATAACGTGTACTTTCATTCATCATCGATTTACTGTATGCAACCCACTGTTCCTGAAACAATTGCTGCGGCTAAATTACATTTGATTTAATCTGAAAAACAATTGGTACTTTCTGAATTACAATTGCAAGTTTCTGAAAATCAATTGTGATATCTGAATTACAATTGCTACTTTCTTAAAATCAATTGTGTTATCTGAATTACATATGCTACTCTCTTAAAATCAATTGGAATAGCTGAATTACAATTCCTACTATCTGAATATCAACTGGAATAACTGAATTACAATTCCTACTTTCTGAATATCAACTGGAAAAGGTGTAGAAGCTTCCAACCCCTGATAAATCTTCATTAAATTTAATTTTCGTTTTTTAACCATTCTTTATTTTTAATTTTAATAGTATATTATGTATCAAGTTTTATAAACTTCATTTTAGTTTTATTGGGACGAGCGAAGCTTGCGAGCGAGTGTTTAAATAAAACGAGTGTCTGGAGAAGTTCATAAAACGAGATGCATACCAAACTTTATCTTCGACGAACAAAAGAATAATTTAAAGCCAATTTTATTTGTTAAAAATTTGACATCTGTCAACTGTAAACGGATTTAACCTCACTTTTCCCAATTTATAATGAAGACAACTTCAGCTCGTGACTAAAATGCCCAAAATTCACTTTTGCTAACCCCTTGCTTAAAACGACATAAATTCACAGCTTCTCAATGGGGGAGTAAATAAAGTTAGTTAAACACCGATGTGATAACAACCACTTACAAATTTCGGTTTAATTTTTTTCATAATTTTGAATTGATTTTTATCTCAATTTGGGAATCTTCTCTTTAAATTTTTAGAAAATAGACTGACTTCTTTGTAACAGTTAAAATTTTTAAAATAATTCTGTTAAAAATCTTTGTTATGAGTACGAAATTAATTATTAATCCTCCTTTGTATATTTTTTAATAATTTTAAAAATAAAATAAAGTAAATAAAGTTATTTCTCTTTCTTAATTTTACCAATGTGTCTTTAAAACCTTATAAGTTTTAATCTTCTATTAAAATGAAAATTTTTATACAAACATATTTAAAAAATAAATATACATTATTTTACTAGATTAAAAAATATGGTTTGTTTATTAAATTTAAAAACATTTTACGTAATTTTTAGTCAATTTTACTGTTTTAAAACCATTCTACTGTAAGGTATCATAAATTCAAAACAGATTTATTTAAAAAAATATATTTACCGATATATATTGGTTTGAGATGTTTTTACCAAATTTGATATCATTATTAAAAAAATGCATAAGTGAAGAATTTTTAAAAGTAACCTCTTAGAATTTGCCATCTGATCCTGTTTTTTTAGAATTTCGTGTTGTATACATAGGATGAGAGTTGTTAATGATACTGCCGAACTATTATAAAAACAATTATTTATTTAAAATAAAATATACATTGATTAGGTACGATGTTACACAATAAAATTGGAAAACTTAAATACATAAAGTATTTTAAAACATTTTTAATCTTTTACTAGGAGTTGCTTTTTGGGTACTAAAAACTAATTTTAGTGAATAATTATAGTTAATTGACGAACAAGCAATTTTATAGTATCATTTAAGAGTGGAATAAAATTTGAATTTAATTTAAGTATAGAAAAGTAAAAAAACTATGTATGTATATATGTATACGAAGGAAAATAAATATGTATGTATTTAAAAACAAAATAATAATAATTTTTATTCTTAACAATTATAGAAGTATAACAATTAACTTCATGATGACTATATTGCAATTTAAATTAATAAATAAAAATTGTGTGTATTCAAACTGGATCTAAACCCAAGTTGTAAGATGTTGGTCAGAATGACAACAATGAATTTTCAGATCTAACTAATCTGAGATGTATGTTCAGTCGATAATTTACTACTAATTAGTAACCGCTTAGGCTGCACTGTTGCTCTTGTGTTCCAAATAAAGTAAATAGGCACCAAACCCATACGCCAAAGCGTTAAAAAGACCAAAAACCTAAAAAAGAAAAACTATGAGAAATTGATAAAAAAAAATTCTGGAGTATTAAATTTTATTTTATTTATTATATCTAGATTAAAAATACATAAATAATAAAAAAATATGTAGAATTTATATACAGGCATATATTTTATAATTCAAGATAGTATATTATTTATCAAGTTTGATAAATGCCATTTTAGTCAAGAAATTGCGAGCGAGTGTTTAATTAAATGAGTATCTAGAAAAGTTTATAAACACGCTGCATAGGTACTATACATTTTCAACGACAAATACTTATTATTATTTAAAAATGATTTAAATTAAATATTTTTATAGAGCGACATCTATAAAAAAAATAGAGTAACTCGCGTAACAATTGGAAATCTGTATTACCGGCGCATGTTTAAATCAAAATTTGTCCCTTGAAAATGGACAACCGTTTAAATGATGATATAGAAGCAGTTTTTACAGTGAAAGTAAAAAGAATGTTTTATGGGCCTTTCACCCGAAATTTTTAATGCTTTTAGTTAAGTAGTATTATAAAGTTTGTATAGAGTTTGTTAGGTACCTGATTTGATGCAATATAAATATTCGGGTAACGCTAAATAGATTTACAAACAACATTAAAACAATTTTGCTTTTGAAACTCAACTTTAATTTTTATATACTTTTAAATTCTTTAGATTATGCCAAGGAAATCTTTTTGCAACTCTTAATTTCAATTTTATTATGTTCCTTATTGAGTATCGAGAAATAACACAAGACAATGTTTTTTTTTCATTTGTTTTATATAAACGACTCATTATCCTTAAAAAGCATTAAATTATCGTTGAGGCAAATTCGTATTGATAATATAATATTAATAATATTTTACTTACAAAGACGGGTTTTTAAGATCTAGAAACTAAACTATTTATAATAGGTCAAAAAGTTAAATAGCAATTTTGTAGTACCTTTAATTTCCTACAAAATTGTTTAAATAAATTTATTAAATCATTATTTTGTGATTTTTAGTTAATATTACGGGTTTATTGGATCTAAAGATTATTTAAGATGGGTTAAACTTTTAATTACAATTTTGTATTACTTTTAATTACCTACAAAATTTGATGTTCTGAATTCAAATGGCATTATTTTTCCTATCAGCTCACATTAGTAAATTATCTCAAATTAAGTAAAATATAGGTTACACGCGTTTTAAATCCTTGAATCAAATTAAATGTAATGTTTATTATTATCATTGATTAATAAGTGACTTAACTACTTCTTTACTCAACGTTATTATATTATACAAATATATAATTAAATTATAGTATATTATACTCGTATACAAATATAGTCATCGATGAAACCAACTACATGATCACTGAACACTGAAGTCACTGAAGGTTCTTTTCCGCGACTTTCTTGAATGTATTTTGGAACAGACCCTTTTTAAACTCCAGCCATAGTTTTATTATTTGGTGAAATCTTTTACCAATTTTTAAATTTCGCCTTGAACTGTCTACAAATAGGCCCCAATATATTGAACATCTTCAGGAAGACCCATGTTTTCAGGAGTCCTTTAATATAGTGACAAAATACAAGATGTGTGAGAAGAAAGGTAGCAGACCGTTTTTCCTTGTACGGTAAAAGGTAATTTTGGTTCCTTTTTCTACTGAATTTTTCTTTTAGCCTGGAAGCAACTAATTCAAAAGCTTCTTTTAATAGATTCAGATCTCTGGTGAAGTCATTCAAATCATCCTGTTTGAAACGATGTGGAATTAATGACATCCTCCAGGTCTCGTATCTGGTGAAACGTTAGAAGGGGCACCTCCTCTGAGTGAGGGACCGGGCTTCTTGCAGAGATTAAATCAGGAGAAGTCCACTTAATACGGTTGTATTGATTGATTCCAATAATATTTACTGTGCAGAAATCGAAGTGGTTTTGGGATTCTCTCCTAACCAAATTTCAGACTTTTCCTTTTACTGGTAGTCCACTATTGAAAATGTTTTGTACAAGTTTTGCAGATCTGATGTTGTGCCCAGGTTTTATCCTGGTCACTAAGCCTAACACCAAAGTATCCAAGACAAACAAACAAAGTGACTAACATTTTTTCTGTTTTACACATCAGAATAATTTACACAACTTCTTCTACTTGAATTCATTTTAAGCTTAATAAAATGCAGTGCCTTTTTTCCTTTTTTAATTTATTTACACTGTCTTTACCTTCTAGTTATTTAATAACTTGCCCAAAAAAAATATTATTTAAAGAGATTAATAATTAGTAAAGTACCTTGTCTACAAGGATAGCTGAATATCCTGAAACATTTTAATACGACCAAAATTTTTTATATTGTCGAGATTGCAGTGATGTAATGTATCGAGATACATGTATCTAGATACTGGATCTAGATACATTTTATGTACCTAGATACGTATCGAGATACTTAAAAAAATCAGGATCTACTTTAGTATCTAGATCCTTTTGAAAGTATCTAGATCCTTAGATACAAGATACATTTTATTTTACCCAACCTGATTGCAACTCCACACCGTGTGGGCCACACGGAAAATGAACATCCAATGGATATACTCTATGGATATCCAGGATATATACCTACATTGGATATTCTTGATATCTCCCGTAAGAGATGAACAATACAAATAATAAAAAGATATTTTATTTCTTTTTCCCTTCAACCCACTTTGGAGTGCGAAGTGCATAAAGTAACTCTTAGGCACTAGTGAGTAAAGTTAAACAAAAGCGCTGTAGGTTACCTATAGTTGGCTTTGAAGGCATTTTTCTTCGTTCTGATAATTTTGAATTTGTACTACAAATTTTGTAGTAAGCTTTCATATGGCGCGTAAATATAAAATTTATTTCCGTTTTTCATGGATATTTCGTCAATTTTATCAAAACAGATTTATTTTATAGTTAACACGCTTGTTTATAAGGTCCAAATTTTTTTTTGTCATTTAATTTTTAAGTTTTTTTAACATAGTATCTGGAAGTAACTTAGATACTTTTTGAATGTATCTGTATCTGTACCCAGATACTTTTGGGAAAATGTATCGGTATCTGTACCCAGATACATCTACCAGAGAGTATCTGTATCGGTACCTAGATACTGAAAAAAATGTATCGGTTACATCACTGCGAGATTGTAAGAAAAATATTTCGTGCGCAACAAAATTGTTATGGACCAGCATCTAAAGACAAATATTACTATTTTATATTAATTAAAGTTTTTCATAATGATCACCGGAAGAGCATTTAATAGGTTTAGATATAAGTTACATGATATAAATAAATAATTTAAAATCAAACATCAGAAACGGATTTTTGCAATACATAATAAATGCATTGTCTTTCTTTACGGTAGGTCCAATAGTGGAGTGGGTAAACTCGTCGTGTATAATCTGGACAAACTGCACAGTAGCATACATTTAAAAATTGTAGGAAAATTCGAACAGTGGCATAAATTTCAAAAAAAATGGTAGGACAAATTAGTAAGTTTGTAAAATGCGAATGTAATTCGAAGTAAATTAAATAAGTAAATAATTTAAACATTTTTGTTTTTGTTGTACTTACTCCAGCAGTAATATTGATACCCTTGAAATGTCCTGAGTAACCGGACCATATAGCCAATTGAATAATAAAAGCTAGTATGTAGAAAATCGTGCAAATTGCTGTGTTAACAAGTTCCTAAAACAAAACAAAAAAACATTTTATAAACAAACTTTAATTTATAAAATACACACTAACCTAATGTGTTATGTCCCTTAAAGTATTATAATTGAAGGGGTTAGAATAGAAAGGGTATAAGTGCAATTTCTTTAATTTAGGAGATAAGTTCGTTTTGTGAAAGATAAGGTTCCGACGTATCGAAATGAAAAGGATTTAAGTAATTTTCATACTTCTAGCGACCTCTATTATCCCGTAGAAAAACATTACTAAACAAAATTCTTCACTTTTTTATGATAACATAACTTTAACTTCAAATATCTCCAAACAATGAAAATGTTACTTATACCCTTTTTATTCTAACCCCTTCAATTAAACACTGTTTAATTACATTTTAATGGTTAAAAATCAAGTTTTATTTAAAATTTAAAAAGAGATACCTAATATATGTTATAGCACCATTTACTAAGCCAATAAGTTTGCACCATTTTTATTAATTATTTATCTTAAACAGTTGAGGTTTATTTCACCCAATTTTTTCAAAAAATAAGCCGTTTGTAAAAAATGGCGAATGCGCCGGGATTTCTATTATTATTAATTAAGCATTTTTTTTAGTTAATACAGAATGGATGTTTTTTTTTAAAAAGGACCCCAAAATTATTTTTTTATGTAGGTATTCCTACCAGTGTTGCCAACCGTACCATAATTATGATATTTGTACCATAATTTTAAAGGACTGTACCTTCTATTTTTTAGCATATCATAATACCATAATTGTAGGTACTACAATTTCTTCTTTGTTTTAACATAATTTAAGTCCTGCCAGAATAGTATTAAATTTTCATTCAACTGTTTATAAGCTATTTATGAAAATTTAATGTTCTAGGTTAGCAGCAGTTATAACTGTTATGTTGATTGAAACTATTGAAACTTTTGTTTTTCACCTCTATGGTTTTTAAGAAAAGATTTTTACGAGCGGTATAAAAAATTTAACAAAAAAAATTGTATAAATTTCGAGCCCTATGAAAATATGTGCAAATACATGACTAAAGAGAATGTATACAATAATCAACACTGTGATGAATGCGATATTATTTTTGATTAAAAGTGTTAATTTATTTAGTTTAAAATAATTTATTATTTTTATACCAAATTTTATTTTTGTTTGTTTATGCCTAATTTATTTTATTTTATCACAGTTTGTGTTAAAATAAATATGACTGTTCTTAACGTGCCTAGTTGCTTGAATTTTAGTCCTAAAATGTGCCATAATTTGTTTGGTGCTATGTTAAATTTAATTGTTTTTTTGTAGAAAATTAAAACAAATATATAAAGCAATATAACATATATAATACATATACATATATATGTTTTAACTTAAAAAAGCCCATGTCCATTAAAAAATATATATTTAATCTACCGCACCCTATACAATACGAATTTCGTTGTTATTATATTTTTTTATTCTTAAAATAAGTACCAAAAATGAATATCTTTATCTTTGTTACTTACGGTGAGTATCCAGTTTATGGGCAATGTTAACGCTTCCCTAACGCCCAGCAAGTAAATAAACACCCATATTAAAGTACCAATAAATGAGGTTGTGGCTACGAACAGGAAAAAATGCGTTCCTGACAGATATGGTGTGGCCAGTGACATACACAGAATACCAAGTATCTGAAAAAAAATAATGTTAATAATATTATATAATAATAATAAAATCAAAAATATTTTGAACTCTATTGACTTGTTTTTTACAGAAACTTAAATAAAATTACTTTTTTTAATTACGCCAAATTTTTTGTTTGTTTTCCATTACTTGAACAATTATAAAGTATATTATATTGATGTAATATATATTTATATATATCAGATAACTATGCCTGATTTTGTTTATCAAATTTTATTAAGTTTCTTTTATAATTTTTCCCTGTTACATGCTTCTAAATACGAATGAATTTAACATAGTAAAGTTTTCTTAAGCGTGTAAACAATATTTTTATCCACTTCTAAATTGACAAGCTGTGACTTTATGGCGTTTTAGTCACGGGCTGAAGTTAGAAACAGTGGATTTTAAGTTATCTTATTATAACTTGAAAAAAAGTGAGATTAAATTCGGGTGACAGAGGTCAAATTTTTAACAAATAAAATTGGCTTTAAATTCTGTTTTGTGTTAGTCGTAGATAAAGTATAGTATGCAACTCGTTTATAAACTTATCTAGACCCTCGTTTTTATCAAACACTCGCTCGCAATCTTCCCTCGTGCCTAATAAAACACGTAACTAAAATGGCGTTCATAAAACTTGATACATAATATACTATTATAACAATGTTTATTATTGTTTAAAACTTTTAAATTAAAAGAGATCTTTATAATAATGTTTTCAGAGTTGCATGTATGCAACTATGAAAACATTATACATGTTTTAAACGTAAAAAATGTTGAACTAGAATTTGTTTGTCAAATAATTTACAAGACGATACATTTTATCGTGGACCGAACAGTGAATTAATTTCGGGAGGCGATAACCAAATTTTATCGTTGTGTGTCATATAATGTTATTTTCTATAGCCTAAATATGCACGCCTTAAGTAATAAAATAGTACATTATAGACCAGGCAGAGAAAGCTCACATTATAGCCGAGCAAGTATAAGCATTCGTCGCCTTGTTTTATATACAATTTTTTTTAAGCGTTTAATTATATCTAATTAATTAATTTATTTAAAAAGAGACAGGTGTAACACCTAAGGTGTTACATTTTTATTTTTGTAAAGCAGCAGTGAAAAAGTAATTTTTTTGTTGTAACTTTGTATCTTTGTTTTAAGCTAATATTGAAAACATATTGAAAAAATATACAAAAATATCAAAAAAAAAGCTTTTAAGTGAGTTCTACCCAAAAAACTCATTAGCTAAAGAAAAGCATTTTTAGCATTTAACAATGACTAACATTATTACGTGTTTGTTAAAAATAACAATAACGCAATTAAAAAGCAATTTTTGTTTTTATTTAAAAAATTCCAATCCTGATTTACCATTCAATTATCTTTTTTTCTATAAAAACGAATGCGTTGATTTGACAGAAATAATTTATTTTATACACTGCGCGTCAAAATTAACGCATAACAAGTAAAAAAATCTAAAACGCCTTTACCAATCTTTATAAAATTTTGTATAAAAATACTTCAACTTATATCTAAGTTTACTTGTTCAAGGGGTTTTCGAGAAAATATCCTTAAAGCCCTTTTATTTAATAATAAAAAATGCTCAAAAAATACTTTTATAAGGAAATTTATTTTTAAGTAAATAAAAAATATGTTGTGAAAGACCGTATTTTTTTTAGTATATCCTAAAAATTTTGTACAAATCAAACGAACAGTAACGAAAATACATCGCTTCAAAGTCGTCAAAAATGACCACTTTTCAGCAAAATAATCAAAAAGGGGTCATTTTTACAGACTTTGAAGCGCTGTATCTTCGTTACTGTTCGTTTGATTTGTACAAAATTTTCAGGGTATACTAACGAAAATACGGTCTTTAACAGCATAATTTTTATTTACTTAAAAAAAATCCCTTAAAGTAATTTTTCGAACGTTTTTTTTAATTATTAAATAAAAGAGCTTTAAAAATATTTTCTCGTAAAACCCTCGAACACGTAAACTGAAATATAAGTTGAAGTATTTTTATAAAAAAAATCATAAAAATTGGTAAAGGCGTTTTAGAGTTTGAATTTTGAATTTTTTTACTTATTATGCGTTCATTTTGACGGTCAGTGTATTTGTTGCAAAATATAGGAAAATAAACCATAATGTAACGGTATATCATATTTGTAAAGTTTAGTATCATTCACAGGAAAAAGTCACCACAGTTATCTTTAAAATATTTATTTATTTCAAAAAAATGTACGACACTTCATTGACTTAATCCGTAAAGTTTCCGAATATGGTTTTGTTTCGAATGACCCATATCGCGTACACCGAAACCTGCCTCAATGCCCGTTAACTTTTAAACAAACGGTAAAATAAAACTTGCCGGCATGCATATAAAATACAAATTAATTCCGTCCAGTATTTTTTTAAATCAAGATAACGCATTAATTATGACCGCAGTGGTTAAATGATTGGGTACATAAATAAATATTCAAGGTTAAATACAATTTACGTCAAAATTATAGTTTTTTATATTTCCCATAGAAATAAATAAAAATATCTCAAGTTGTTTGGTTACAATTGATATTACATATAAGTTCTATAGTACTTTATAAAGTTTACTCATTTAATTCAATATATTTACTATGAAAAAAATCGAACTACAAATGCTTCCGTTTGGTGGTGCGTAACAGTCAGCGAACAAAGTATACGCTTCTTCTGCTTTACGTTACTTCCGATGCATATCCCCTGATGCATTGTGCTGTGGATGCGGTGCCGCCGCACCTGGGGGCTCTGCTGCACCGGTCATCCACCTCTTAACAAGCCACATCCAGCACCCAACCGGTGACGGCTTAAAAATTCCTTAGACGACGTCTACAGGCCAACACGTCTGGTTTTAAACGTGGAAGTAGAGGTAGTAGTATGCACACCATATCAGTTTCTAACATCTAGGATTTATAATGATCAAAAATTTATATCGATGGAGGTGAAAGTTTTAAGTTATAACAAGTTTTCAGTGTTTTAATTTTTTTTTCAAATTATTAGAATAAATTAAACAAATAGGCTTTTCATAAAATATAAAAAATGAGGGTAGTCAGAAAACTATATAATTTAAATAAAAATTTTATAGTTAAAAAACAAAAAATTAATTATACGAGAAGCATTCTATTTTAAATAAAGAAGTTTACAGTAAAAAAAATATTTATTTTAACCAAATATTTACGAGATTTTATGTTAATCCAGGTCCACATAACTGTTAACTAATTAATTAAAAATCCTATGTCAATAATTCAACCATAATTCTTGTAATTTTCAAAATGACTTTTTTGTAATCCCAGTAACAAAAGTATTAGTTAAAAATTGGGAACTTAAATAAAAATAATTTTGATAAGAAATGTTGCTTTATTAATCAATTTCCTAAATAAAAAATTAACACAAACCTACATAAATAAACACAAAAATAACCCACCATTCTTAAATCATCAAATTATAGAGAAATTTGGTACAATTTAATTCAGTACTACTACAACATGTTTTGATTGACTGCCTAAAATCACGTGTACTCTTTCAACAAAATAACTTGTTAAACATTAACACAATAATCTGTAACCTTTGAAATGAACAAAAGGCTTACAAAATTGCATATTACCCTTACAAAACTTTCGGTAAAATATTTTCCTTTATAAAATAATTGCAAACCCTGGTTTTATACAAAAAATTATGTTAAAATTACAAACTCATGTTCAAAAATCTGTTTTTTATTACAGTGTAATATACTCACTCAAATTATGTTTTTTTCAGATATTAATTTTTCAAAAAAGTTTTCATGTTTTCACTTTATTTTATGTTGAAACGTTCTTTTGTTTGAAAATAAGTCAATTTTAAATTAAAATTTTAAACCCCTTAAATAAACAAGAAAACTTTCTTCTACGTGATAATATCCAATGTTTATAAAGAAAGTACAAATACATAAAAGTTTAAAAATATTTTTAGTAGATAAATTCTGATGATGAAACTTAAAATTAGGCAAAATTATGTTTAATACTACAGGGAGAGAACTGTTTTGGGAATGGTTACTATAAAATCTAGTAAATTGGGGACAACTTTAATATTTTAGATGTGAGCGCTTTTTCTTTTAGTATGACAGACAAAAAGAACAAAAACAAAGAGTAGGTAGGAATTATTAGATTTAGGGTTTGAATTCGTTAATATTACACGTGCATAAAGTAAGTTTTTTCCTCAGTTATGGCCTTTTTTTCAAACTTCAAGAATATATTAATATATTACAAAAAATAGGCTTTACATAAAATATAAAAATAGTAGAAAACTAAAAAATTGTTTAGTTAAAAACCAATAAAATTTAATAATAGAAGCATTCCATTTTAAATAAAGCAGTTAGGTAATCAATGTTTTTTTAGATATTAATTTTTCAAAAAAGTTTTAATGTTATTTTCATGTTTTCACTTTATTTTATGTTAAAATGTTCTTTTGTTTAAAAATAAGTCAATGTAAACACACACCCAATTTCTTCGATACTATACATTGTTGAATTCCTTGATTTTTGTTCTATCAAACCATTTAAAATTTTAATACGGCGGCCATAGGAAAAAAAATCTGGTAGGCAAATGTTTACATGTGTAACTAACTTTTTTTTTAAATTACCCAAAACCAAAGATTAAATGCACTTTTTTATATATTTATTCATTGCCGAAACAACGAAGTTAAAATGATTTTTGGTTTGACAGGTTTTCAGTTTTTTTTTAAATTATTTAAGAACCGCAGGTTTTTTCCAATATTTAAATGCCATTTTAATGAACTAACTAATTTTAAGTGTAATAAGGTGTAAGGGGCAGTCCATAAATGATGTCACACGTTTTTTTTAACATTTTTGACCCCCCTCCCCCCCCTTGTCACAAATTATGGGACCCCCCCTCCCCATTGGCGTCACGTCACACTGATTTAATTTTTATGTAAGGTCTACCCCACGAAATTTTTGCTTAAAATAAAATCATTGAGTAAAGTGTTACTC